TAGCGCTGCTTCCCAGTTTGAGTTGTGCTCATCATCATCTCGATTCTCGTATCGTGTAATGAATGCACCCTTCGCGTGCTGAATCCAGGCACCCCCCGAGGGAAGTGAGAAAATTCCAAATTGATACCAACCCGGCATCCCTGGATGAGGCGAGACCTGAAGCAGAGTTTCTAAGCCTCTTTCATCGTCTGGAATAACCACTCCACGCATGAAATGAAGGTCTTGGAACTCTATTCCTTTGATATTGGCTTGGCCATCGGCAAGTTGCCGCGCTGCTTCCGTAGCCATCACCAACATTCCCGCGGCTGGGAATACAATCGATCCGGCAACAACATGATCGGCCATCCATGGGTTCTCCGAGAGTCGCAGGAAGTTTCTCCATCGTGGCTCCAAAGCGTTTTGATAATCCACGGCAGCTCCCAAGATATCATGACGGGGATGCTTACGCTGTCTCAATTGCGCTGTCTCTAATGGCTCGTGCCAGAAGGACGTCTGATGATTCCAGGGATAAGAAGGTAAATCGGCAAGCATTGTTGGTTTTGTAGTATCGACACTGCTGTTGACTGCAGCAAGGTCTATTGTATGTCCTGTGCTCCAAAGCGACCCAGCAACTTCCAACGCTGTTCGCAAAGCATTCTGGTTCCGCGAAACTAGGGAGTGGTAAGGCAATGATGCCATATTTGCGTTGACAGATTGTAGAATTTGATTCACGGGTCCTTTCAAAACAGCGTGTGGACCAATTTCAACCAATGCAGTCCATTTGATTGGAACAGGCCGGCGGCGAGACTTGATAGACTCGCTTAGGTTTGCGAGCTGTGTCACTGCGGCAGTGAACTCGACCGAGCTGACCATGTTCCGCACCCAGTATGATCCACTAAGCTCGGCGGGATATACTCGCTCTGTTGTGACCGATGAAAGCATGGGAATTGAGCCACTGTATCGATCTTCCGGCTTGATACAATTGATGGCATTACCAACTACTTCAACAAGATCCTCCATGTGAGGGGAATGATAAGCTGTATCGATGCGCAATTTCCGAGCGAAATGGCCATCCTGTTGTAATCTTGCTTCCAGCTGATCAATGAAGTCCACATCGCCCGAAAGGGTTGTACTGGCAGGACTATTGACGCAGGCAACCACAACTGAACGTGGTGGCAGCTCCTCAAGGTACTTTTGTGCATCGGCTGCAGAAATACCAGTAGCGAGCATACCACCTCGTCTCTCGCTCTGGGCGATCTGCTGTGAAAAGAACCCGCGGAACCACGCAACTCGCAAGGCATCTTCGTGGGAAAGATATCCACCAGCATATCCGGCGGCTATATAATACAAACAAGTCAGCTGGTACTCACCATGGAATGATTATTGCGAGAAAGAAGAATAGCAGGAGATATTCATACCTATTTCGCCGCTAGAGTGACCAACAACTGCGTTGGGATAAACTGACCAACTGGCCAAAAGATCAACCAATGCAATCTGCAACGCGCAGGTGATAGGCTGGCTTCGATCAGGTCGGTTAATTTGACTGTCTTTTGCCTCTGCCTTTATCTCCTCCACAATATCAAAGGGACATCCCAGGGACGAAAGAATGTCTTGTGATCGTGCTATGCTTTCCCTGAAAGTGGAAATCCTCAAAAGCTCCCGGCCCATTCCAGCCCACTGGCCACCCTGGCCCGTAAACACAAAGGCAAGTCTTGTTTGAGCTTTGCGACTAGCCCGAGGAAATTTAGGGAGCCCCTTATCCAAGATGGATCGTAGCTGGTCTTGTGAATTAGCAACCGCGAAGCTGCGGAAGCCCAACTGCGATCGGCGTGTCAGCATTGTATGGGCTAAATCTTTTAGCAGAAATTCCTGCTCAGCATTCTGCTGACGCTGAAGGAATGTGCTCCAATTTTGACCGGCTCGCTCGATACCAGCTTGGTCAAATGTAGAAAATACCACCACATGAGGGGCCGGCTCCCTATCTTCAGCATTGCCCTGGAAGGCTTCTTTGGTGCTTTCAAGAATTAGGTGCGCATTCGATCCACCGAATCCAAATGAATTGATACTGGCCCGCTGTGGCAGATGATCTGGCCAGGGTATCGTTTTATCGCTCAGGCGTAAACGCCAATCATCGAGCCGGATCTTGGGATTGATGTTCTTGAACCCGGCATTTGGCACCAGCGTGCCCTTTTCCAAACATAGAACGACTTTGATCAAGCTAGCCACTCCTGCAGCTCCTTCAGTGTGACCAAAATTTGTCTTCACTGAGCCTACGTATATTGGCTCATCGGTCGGTGTCCGTGCCTGGCCCAAAGTCATTCCGACAGCAGACAGCTCTATCGGGTCCTATTCATCACCAAGTTAACAAATAAAGTGCTTGAGTAGCCACCCATAGAACTGTTTTGCTTACCCCGACCGGAGTTCCAGTGCCATGGGCTTCAAAGTAGGAAGTGTCTCTCATTGAGATGCCATGACGTTCATAAACCGAACGAATCAAGTTGGCTTGAGACGTTGGGCTGGGCAGCGTAATTCCAGGAGTACGACCATCCTGGTTAATTCCTGTGCCGCGGATGATGGCTCGAATATTATCTCCATCGGCCAATGCGGCGCTGAGGGGTTTCAAAAGCACAGCACCGATGCCCTCTCCCCGACCATATCCATTTGCGGACTCATCAAATGAATGACTGATCCCATCTGCACTCATCATATGCATGTAGGAGAGTCTTTGTGTAAAATTAGGGTGCAAGATGAGACTAGCACCAGTTACCAGGGCCTGCCACGAGCGTGTTTAGCATCATGAACGGATATATACGGGTTGTAGTACGTACCATTCCACACTCTCCAGATCGCAAGGATTGGGCTGCTAAATGGACCGCGGTCAAACTAGAGGAACAAGCAGTATCCATCATAATACTCGGACCTTGGAGATCAAAGAACCACGACAAACGATTGGCCAGCATAGTCCTTCCATTGCCAGTAGCCGAGTTGTGGGGCATATCATAGATATCTCTTGTCGACAATAGCTCATAATCATTGGTCATTGAGCCGGAGTACACTGCTGTGTTACTTCCTGGGAGTGTATCTATTGGTATTCCGCCTATTCCACCCGTTTTAGCTTGACTGGCTTTCCGTGAATTCCCGGATCTTGTTTGTCTTACTGTTTTCAAAAGTCTCATATGCGACTTCAAGCAACAAACGCTGCGCTGGATCCATGCCAGCCGCCTCTTTAGCTGTGATAGAAAAAAAAGGAGCATCAAATCGGGATGGATCTTCCTGCAAAAAGAATCCACTATCATGATTGATCTAATCATCCCATGGCCTCAGTGTTAGAATAATAAACTAAAGTGTAAGTGAGGATATTCATACCGCTCCTTTTCGTTCATGGCTGGGATGGTGCCAGGCCGAAGCTTCATATCGGCTTGTGGGAACAGTCCCATGTCCAGTGCGTCCCTCGCATAGCATCTGCCAGAAGTTCTCAATGGATGTTGCTCCCCCAGAGAAGCGGCACCCCATTCCAATAACAGCAATTCCCTCCATATCTGTAGGGGCAGAATTCGTCGTCAGTCGGCCAGGCATCTTGTGGGTATGGAATAATTGAGGACAGGTTTGAACAAGATTCCAGAGCAGGAATGCTGTGGGGTATTATACTCGATGCGGTGCATTCCGGGTTCGGCAAATCCCCGTCTTGTTTGCAGGCAATGAAACTGGCTATACATCCTGGACACTAGTTCCATTAATGCGTAAAGTACTCCGTGCTCCGTATCGCATATTCACATGCATATTTTACTGGCTATCAAAGCGGAGAACATGCAGTGGAGACCTAAACTCATTGAAAAGCGCTCTAGACAATGTACCTACAGAGTACTTTGGATATCATTCTACTCTGTACTCCATAAATCTTTTGGAATTTGGGTTGGTGAGACCTTGTTTCCTACAGAGTACCCTTGAGACAAATTTCTAGAAGATGGATCCAGTTAATGCAGTTCGATCTCATTCTCCATACTCGTGCAGCTTGGATGCCAGTGCCGGTTCCACCATTTTCTGTATGTTAACGTCTGGTTGAATGCTGCTGTGACGAATATTACGAAAATGCTGTTAAGTGGGGACTTTCTACTCCATAGATCAACGAACTGGATCGTCAATGCCTCAAGATGGACCAGATGTCCATGTGAATTGTACTTACAGCAAATTACCAGTATCGGTCACTGTATTTCAAGATATCGGCCCGCATGGCCTGCTCCACTATATTATGACAGTAAGCCAATGTTCGTAGCCGAAGATCGCCTATCAGGATTTCTTTTTATGTCTGTTCTTTTTATGAGGGGATTCCCATCCCGCAGTGGAGAAACCACTTTCCACTTCAAGCCCCCTATTTGAGACAAGCTCCACTTTTCGGACTCCGTGGGTACTTGTTCCCCCTTACTCCGTGCAAGGATGTATTTTGGAGTATATCAATCTTACCAGTTGGGTTATCTGGAGGGCTAGCTCTTTAGACGTTACCATTATGGTGCAATCTCGCTTCGGTGATATTTAGCTGTGGCAACTGGGGGACCATTACTGGCACTGTGCCGGATCGCAATTTCGCGATGAGAACTTCTGGTGGAGCACATTTTACAATACGGAGTAATAATTGACTTTATTGAAGCTACTAACACTTCCTTGCCCCTCCACTCCACGCAGATCACCTGCAATATATGGAGCACATTATATCTGTATTTCGACGATCTCAAAAACTATACGCAGTGCTCCATAGTCTACGAAGTACGCTAGCTAATATTATCGCGCGGCAAAAAGACTGTACTTTGTCTGAGCTCTTCAATAGTTCAATCTCGCCCGGGAGCCTAGATCACCTTGCGGACCAATTCCAAGCCACACACGGAGAATTCCGCACGAATTGCAATAGTACCTCGATTTCGCAACACCCGCTTTGCCGTTTACACGATTCATATTAAGACGTTCGAGCTGTACCCCGCCTCAGTCGCATCCTTCATTTTTCCCCCACGTCACGACATCTGTTGAGAATGACCACTCAAAGCGCCATTATCGTACAAGGACCTGGCCGCGCGACGATAGCAGAAGATGTGCTGCTCCCTGAGTTGCCGGATGAGTACATTCTCGTCAAAACAAAAGCTGGTATTTTCTCCTTGTGCTCTTCTTCGTTCCCGTGTTACATGGACAGCTGGACTAACACAGTACGAAGTCGCTTTGAATCCAACAGACTGGCGTCATATTGATTTTGTACCCTGTACCGGAGCCACCGTGGGCTGTGACTATTCTGGAATAGTAGAAGCCGTGGGACCGAGTGTCAAGAAGGCTTTCAAAAAAGGCGATCGCGTTGCTGGGTTTGTACACGGCAGCAATGCCGTTCGCCACAATGGCGGCGCGTTTGCTCAGTATGTAATTGCGAAGGGTGACCTTCAAATCTTGATACCCGAGTCCATGAGCTTTGAGGCAGCAGCCACTTTTGGTGTTGGTTTGACAACTGTTGGTCAAAATCTCTACCAGAGCATGGAATTGCCTTTTCCTGGCGACCAGGCGAACGACTCAGACGACATAAATATCCTAGTTTATGGAGGGGCAACGGCGACAGGTACCCTTGCAATCCAATTGGCAAAATTATCTGGATTACGAGTGGTCACAACTTGCTCTGAAGCCAACCGCAGTTTTATGTTTGAACTTGGGGCTGACGCGGTTTTTGATTACCACGATCCACTAGTGGGTGAGCAGATCCGAGAGGATACTGATGATGCTCTGGAGTTTGTTCTTGATACAATCTCTACGCCCCAATCAGCTGCCATTTGCAGTGCTGCCATTTCGTCCGCAGGCGGTTCCTATAATGCCCTGCTGGATGTGCCATCAGCGAGAGATGACGTTGATTCACACGTCTCGATGGCATACGATGTCCTGGGAGAACCGTACCGCATGGGAACGAACGAGATATCTCCTGATAGTACTAACTTCGAATTCGGCATCAAATGGTGGGAATTAGCGCAGAAACTACTTCAGGAGCGTCGCATCCATCCTCATCCATACCAGGTGAAGCCAGGCGGCTTAGCTGGAGCGTTGGCCGGTCTTCAGATATTACGGGAAGGTAAAGTCCGAGCCTCCAAACTAGTCTATCGGGTTGATGAATCCGAGTAAATTGTGAAAGAAAAAGAATTTAAACAAAGAAGGACTTCTTGGCTTCCTATAAAGGTCCAATAAGATGTTTAGTTCTCTATTAGTACCACATGACTGTATGTATAACATGTATGAGAACTCCGTCGTCAAATTCCGAAGTGATTAAGCCATAGATACGTCCAGCAGAATCGTACTTTTGTAGAACTAGTTCGATGACCAAATGAGAATTCGAGTAATCTCTCATGAAACTCTTACGCACTGCGGGTAAGCAAACCAAACTACCAATGCTCCTGAAACCAACCGGTTCGAGGACAATACTACTCGCTAAAAACAGCATTTCCAGCATACCGTGTTCAGTGAACAGGGCCAAGAGTCTCACTATCCGTGCCCACAGCGCAGTCAATTCAATCATAACCCACCACAGATATACCAGCACCAGAGAAGCTTCCAGCTGGTCTCAAGTATTCAAGGTTCCAAGGAGCAAGATAGTTAATGTACTGGTCTGGTGGTTTCTCTTGCAGCCCCTAGAACTCTGTGAAAGCGCCATTCCCCAAGGTTATCTTGACCCCAGCTAAATTAATATTATTCTTGATGGAAATCCGAATGCCGTTCAATGGGAGCTCTTCGGTATGCTTGCAGTATAGCCGAGAAGGGACAGCCACGACGTTATAGAGACCATCGTAGGCAGAAACTTGCAACGGCTCAAACCTGTGTCAGGCTTGAGTAGTTATTCTAGCAGCTAGTTGAAATCCAAAAAGACAGACTGATCTCCTACACTGAAGACTGTTGAAACTGTAAAGGCTTCCAGAAAATTACTATATAAACGCCACACTCGGTATAACCGAGAGTCTTTGAGGAAATATGGCTTATCTGGAAGGAGATGCGAATCATGATCATCGACTGGCAATTTGACGAATACTGAGCCATGCTTCTGTGTAACTCCCTCGATCACACTCTGTATGGCGGTAAGAAGGGTGCGCTAAAACCAAAAAAATTCAAATTAATTTTTATCTATCTGAGAAATTCCGGCGATTGCTTGTAAAACCATCAGCGAGACCTGCCATCAAAAATAAAAACCTCCCTACTAGATTAACATTCAGCCAAATATATTGCTATGACTTTAGTAAAGAAGGTAATTAGGATCTGGACACCGGTGACCGCCAGTATATACCAGAACTGTCATCTAACAGGGGTACCTTAGTCCAACACATGTCAAACTTCTAGCTAGCTCCATGCGTTTAGAGAAAAGAAAGTAAAAACATCTAAAAACATACAACAGTGAGGATTCGCTGGTGGTCACCCACCCAACTACTAACTCACCGGCGTGTGGCTTAAGTACGGCTGAGCGGACGGGAAGCCCTGTTTTCCACACCCTATGGTCGTATGTATCACATAATGTGTGCGATCAAAAGATACTGTCGTCTATCTTTAAGCCGATGCAGGTGAGATAGGGCTGTTAATCCCATCGATATCAACCTCTACAGGTCGGATTTTGTTTAAAATTGAAACATAAACTTAAATAGCTATATAATACTTATCATAAATTTCAAAAATTTAAACTGTATATAATAAGTAAAAGGCTAGAGAGAATGCAGCGATTATGAGGTACTAATCAAACCCCCTAAATGGGACATAATGGGGGCCTTGTGGGCCCCTACGAATGGGCTTTGGGCCCGGGGTTCGGGCCCATTTATGGGCTTTACGAAGGTCTAGCTGATACCATACAAAAGCGCATACTGAGCTCAGTCAGTTATATCTACATAGATTGTTAAATGGTGAAATTTTGTCATTTTAGTTGGAGTTATATATATTAACTGACCATACCTTGCTGTACACCTTGATTTTCTGAACCCGCAGGCCACCCGCTACGTGGTCAAATTCATGCACCAAACAGGTCTCCTCCAGCAGTTCCAACATGTTGGGATCGAGGATGACGACGACGACGAACCGGTAGGCCTTGCGGCAATGGATCTAGGTGTGGAAGACGATGGGTATTAGCCAATGACGAGAATGAAGCTGTGGAACGAGATACTCAGCCAGGGATGACAACCATGCCGATGAACTGGCCACTAAGAACACCACCACCAATTGAAACTGAGGCAGGGGGGGAGGGGGGGAAGGAGGATGAGAAGTAAGAGCGAGAAGTGAGAGCGAGAAGTGGGATGTGGGAGTTGGAAAGTGGAAGGTGCCTCCACGGCAATCATTTAATAATTTCTTATGTATGGGATTGGGTATGGGATTGGGTATACGGGATTTACGGGTTACAGGAATGGGCTGATTCCACGCTCTTTTGCTCACCATCTGTACTCCTCTGGGATTCGGCGTTAGGGCTCGAGTTCTTGCTTCAGTTGGAAGAAGCGCCTGCATAGTCATACGCAACTAGTTAGACTGCAACAGGTTAATTGAACTTTGATTGATTGATTGATTGACCTTGATTTTCTGTCAATTTACATCTCTTCCAGTCACAATTTACTTATTGATTTTAACTTAGGGCTTTGTTTTCTCTGGTACGAGTCGGTCAAAATGAATTCATACATATTAGCACTCTGCAAGCTAGTAAAAGTTCTCCTTAGTAGGTTATTCCGTACTTACCCTAGGTAAATATGCCGGTTAGTTAGTGTATAGTGGGTGACCATATGCGAATGCTGGCCGTTATGTTTTCGTCTTGTGTTTTTTCCTCATTTTTTTTATTCTTGCTCTTGTTATGTTTCGTCCAGATTTCCATAGGTTTTCTTGATATTGATGGTTGGTCATGTCTAGTGTTCTATTTTTAAGCAATCTTGATGTCGCAAGAAAACACAAAGTCCACCGATAACTAAATGTACATGGTTCTCATCACAATGAATGCTCAACTCGGCTACCGCTTGTCTCGGACTCCTCTAACCCCTCCCCGAATGACCCGGGCTTCGTATCGATATACTCACGCCTCACGCTCCACTGATCCGTCCTTTGGATTCCCATCGAATGACTTATTTCCTCTAGTTTCTGTGGCTTGACAGGATCGGTAACTGCAAAAGCAGCGGCGGATGTTCCAAGTCCCTCGACCTCGTCTTCCAAGTATCGAGAACGCCTTGTGGCCTCTTTTGCTCCACGGCTCATACTCGTCAACGCATATGAGTTGCCATAAGAGTCACTATGGCTCCCGATAGTGCGCTTTCGCAGGCCGATGCCGAGCATTCCGCTATCGAAAGCGTCGAGAAAAGGCTTTAAGCAGGGAATGCATGCTGTAATGAGGGTGACGCATAGGGCGCATTGGGTGGTGATCCTGGTCTCAAAGGCAGATTGTGTCATGTCCGTGGAATTGGGGGCATTGCGCATGAAAACAAGGCGCATGATGGTCGCTATTATTACACTGGGCACCTAGTTAGTTGAAAATTCGTGAATTCAGAGACAGCAAAATCTTACGTACGTTATGCGGTACGCGAATGCGACCACGACAGGGACTTTCTTTCCAAAGCTAACCTGGACGGGCTTGATGATATAAATCGGGAGTAGGCAAATGATTAACTCTGTAAGGATATCAACGGAAGATATGGCTGTCCAAAAGTGGAACTATAGAAATCAGGCTGTCAGTATGAATTGGATTGCTGGGGTCGAAGCTCAATGCTCACAGTATCAATACACTTGCCATTATCCATTTCCCATGGCCTTGGTGCTCCGCATTTGAAACCCAAAGTAAATAAGACTGGAAATGTCCAGATTATAACGACGATCGATGACCAAAAGCATACTTTTTTGTGTGATTTATTGACACACAGTTTATTCAGAAATTCAAAGACTGAGATCTTCGTGAGGCTAAGGGCAAGAACGTAAAGAATATCGGATGCATATAGGATCTAAGAAGTAGTTTGGAATTAATATATATTATCGCATTGATTCAGGAAGAATGCTTCACCTTTTCCACGTCGATCACTTGCTGCGTACTTAAGGCAGATTGACGCTTCCCCATGCCATATTTTGTCCCTTGAAAGATGACACCGGATTGTGCGATGCCAAAGACCTATCCTTTGGAAGCTCGGCATTAGTTACTTGATGACAATGATCTAGTCAAGGAGTGTCGTGTGGCACAGATGGAAATGTATACCAGTGCAAGGGAAACTATCCCATCATCTCGTTGCAATGACCGAAGCATAAAGAATCGAAAAGCAAGTCGGATCAGCACAGCCAATATCATCATTACTAAGAGGTACAAGGCCGCAATAGCGACCTCATCTCCATGATCGAATGTAGGCGAGTCTGCGCGTCTGTCGATCGTGCGTATTTGAAAATATCTTGCAATATTCATAATGAGAGCCGGAAAAGCCAAGAAATGGATGACTCGTGCATTTATTCAAGAACTTTGAGATGCAGGGCTTTTGTTAGACAACGGGGAATCCCCAAGGCCAGCCTAAATTTGGCTTGATGGTATATTTATACATAGATAGATAATCGTAGGTTCAGCATTACGAAGAATCTTGCCATTTTGCTTCTTTGGTAAAGCTTCAGGGTTGTAATTCAATTAACAATATCTCTTTAGGGGTAATTGGCTTTTTGGATTCCGTACTAGGATCTTCGCACGGGGTATGGAGCTAAATGCACATGGATGTACGGAGTATCACTCGTGGGTACAACCGCCTTCAAAGAGATTAAGGATCCTGCTTAGCTTGCAAGGATGGAATGTCTTACATTAATTTCGGCTATAGCGGTACCGACATATTGGAATATGTATGCCGTAGACTTTGGAAGTATATTGTGGGTCATAGCTTTCTGATTTGAGGAATGGAATTTATGGTACAAATCATTCCTTATCATAAGCCTTGATGGATATGCAACACATTCAAAAAGACTCGTCTACCACGAGCTAGAGGGTTATCAGAGTCTTCCCTAAGAAATTAGTACGCATTATATTGTAAGATTCCGTGCCGTCCCGTTCCCCGTCGGGGATGCGTAAATTGGGCCAGTGGGGCCCGTGCATAAGACCTATTTACATCCATGGATATCTCCCAATGAGCTGCTCATATGAATGGAGTGTAGAGAGTGATTGGTGATGATTTATACACGTAAGCTATCAATAAAACACCTTGTTTAGTGAAAGTAAGGATAGCCTATCATATTTTCGTTGTAATATTGATGAGGTCGCAAAGTACTATAGAATTTCCGAGGTCGTTTGGCGGATACTTTCCTGATCCGCCTTTGAAATTGGAATGTGAAAGTATTTCTCCAGAACAGCCAGACGCTCCTCCTCACAGGCGAAGGATTGCAGGACCTCTGACGTGGCCCCCAACCGGCGCTTCAGTGTATTGTCGAATAGTGTTAGATCACCAATGACCTTTTCACCGTCATCGTCCAGAATCATCCGTACACACATCACGTGGAAAAGAAACCAGCTCTCCGGACTGGTACTCATATAGTAGTTGATGATCGTAAAGTCTTCCGGAAGAAATTCCGTTTCAGTGAAGCAGTAGGCAGGAATCCACGCCCCGCCTGCATTGCAGATCTCATACTGCCAAAGAAATTGGCCAGCTCTCGTGTGCTGGGTGATAGGGCCGTAGATGAGCCGTGTAGACTGGTCGCCGACATTGTGGGCCTCAAACCCGTCGATCAATGGAAGTGGCTGATGTGACCCATTCGAGCCGAACCCCACATCTACCAGGTACTTTTGTTCCCCGATAACAACGATATTGACCATGTGATTCCTGCGTTTGACAGTTCAGTATGTTTCAGATATAAGATCGAAGGAATGACCATACCATCCATCGTACTTTGGACCTTTCCAGTCCCTCGAGGTTGATATGGGCTGGACCGCCTCATTTACCCGACCTCCGACCGAGGTGACATTGTATCCAATGGTCCTAAGGACAGTCCCAAAAAGAGTACTATTCTCCATACAGTAACCTCCCCGATCGGATTTGGAGTTTACTATCTTGTCAAATAGTTTCTGGGCATCAATGGAAATGTAGCGGTGGACTGCATAATGCAGATTGAGATTTTCAAAAGGCACCGCTGCCACCTGGTATCGTTGCAAAACCTTCAAAAAGACTAGGGCGGCCTCATTGTCGACACTTGCACCAAACTTGACCACCGGTGACTCCCGATATTTTTGAGGTAGATCGATCCGGTTAAAGTACTGTTTCAATTGCTCTGGCGAGTAGACTGGACGTAGGGACCAGTCAATGATAGAATTCATGTTGAATAAATCAAAGGATGCAAGGTGCCAAAGAGATATATTAATGCTGGAAGTAGGGTGTCGAGAGACAATAAATAGATGTAAAAGCGGGGTTGAATTCTGTCGATCAGGTTTCTACATATGGATTACAAGAATAAATTGGTACTAGGAATATTTATAGGCATGTTACCGAGATCCGTGATTCCGTGATAACTACGGAGTACGGATTACTGCACGAGTCTACCAATGAAGCTTTTAATTGCGCTCCCAATTGGACCTTAGAACTGTTACATGCATCCCCCACAGGGCATGGTCCTGATATGCCAGTATGCGTTTAATTAATTAATGCAACCGGATCGATCCTGGACAGCGTGCGCGGGACGTTAATTCAGAAACACTATATTAAATATTTGTGGCGTACACTGAAAGAATCGAGCTAGTGTATAGTGCATACGTAGCCTAGACGTGTCAACGAATAGCCCTGCAAATTCCTCGGTGATTCTACATGCCGGCTTTTGTCTTGAGCGAAAATTGATTGCACCTGATTTGTGAGGGAGCCGGATCCCGGAGGAATGTTCCCACATTTACTGAAGTGAACTTGATCAATGCGCCGAGGGCTAAGCAATGTTCCCAACTATATATCTGGACCTCTGACAACTAGATGGGTTCTAGGCATGGTTTTTTATCCTTCCATGCTTCTTTCTTAGTTTCTTCTTCTTCCTCCTATCCCGACCCATCCCAGGTTTCCTTTTCATAGTCTACCTTTGCCGCATTTCGCAACACAACCCCAAAATGCCCTTCAAGAATGGCGAGATGGCGATCCAGGAGTTGGGCTCCAGCAAATCCAAAAGTCGCGATGCCGAAGATATGGCAAAGCAGGGCAAGAAGCAGCAATTTAAAGTATGGCTTCACTCAAGAAGATATTTCAGGGAGAATTTATTTAACGCAAGCAGCGAAACTTTGGATTCTTGTCCATGTTGGGCTTCACGACAACCATGATGTGCACTTGGGAGGCTGTGCTTTTGTGAGATTCGGCTGTTCCATTCTTTATTAGACCGAAACTAATCATTTACCTCAGTGCCAATTTAACTGCAATGATAGATGGTGGCCCAGTAACCCTCGTCTACGGGTTCTTATTTTGCTGGTTCGGCGCTTTGGTGACTGCATCCTCGCTGGCCGAGATGGCCTCAATGTATGAAACTATGAAACCTGCTCAAATTATCCAAGACTCGAGACTCAACAGACAACAGGGCTCCTACCTCCTCCGGACAGTACCATTGGGTGGCAATGTTAGCTCCGAAGGGTCAGGCAAAACTTTTGAGCTGGGTGACAGGATGGATGGCCATGATTGGATGGTGGGCCAACACTGCAGCTGGTGTTTATTTTGCAGCGACAGTCACACAGGGCCTTGTAGTCTTGAATTACCCGAATTATATTGCGGAAGGCTGGCAGGGAACCTTGATGATGTTCGCTGCATTGATAATTTGCGTGCTCGTGAACTCCATCGGGGCAAAGCTACTTCCCCAGGTCGAGGGTCTGATTCTGATATTTCACATCGCGGGATTCTTCGCCGTCCTCATTCCTCTCGTCTATCTTGCACCTCACAAAGATGCCTCATTCGTTTTTGCGACTTTTGAAAACAGTTCGGGATGGAGCAACGCGGGTCTGACCTGGTTGATTGGTCTGATGGGCACGAACCTCCCATTCATTGGTGTGACCCCCATCCTTCCCCAGGATAGACTATTTCTAACCAGGTTCTGCAGGTTATGATGGCCCCTGCCATATGGGTAAGATCCAAGTCAGTAATTGGAAACCTCATAAACTAACAGATCCCCACAGCCGAAGAAGTCATCAATGCTTCTATCATCGTTCCTTGGTGCATGATCGGTACAATCCTGCTAAACGGCACCCTTGGGTTCGCTATTGTCGTCGCTTTTCTGTTCTGTATCGGAAATGTAGATGACGCCCTGAATAGCGCCACCGGCTACGACTTCATTGAAGTCTTCTACGCAGCTACCAAATCACACGCGGGAACATCCGTGATGACCGCCATTCCCACGGCATTGGTCATTTGCGCGTCGTTTGGGTTCCTGGCTTCCGCATCGCGTCTCACCTGGGCCTTTGCCAGAGACAAGGGACTGCCATTCTCGAATTTCTTGGCTCACGTATGGCTGATTATCACCTCCTTTACCTCCTAAATAGCAGCAACTAATTTTATTACCCGCATATAGGTCAGCTCCGAATCTGCCCTCCCTCTTCGCGCTGTCGGTCTCTGCGCATTCATTACCGGCTGTATCTGCATCATCAACGTTGGATCAACGTCAGCATTCAACGCCATCATCTCGCTGACTACGGCAGGGTTGTTCGGTTCCTACGAAATCGCCATTGTTCTCATGCTCATAAAGAAAATCAGAGGAGAGCCGATTCCGTATGGCCCCTGGACGCTCGGCAAATTTGGCATTGTTATCAATATTGCCTCAATTTGTTTCTTAACGATTGCTATCTTCTTCTCCTTCTTTCCTGCAGAGATGCCTGTCACTCTGGCGAGTATGAACTGGTCAATTGTAGTGTTCACTGGCGAGTTCCTTATTGGGCTAGTGTGGTATTTGATCAGTGGGAGGAAAGCCTATAATGGCCCGGTCATTGAGTTTGATGTCAACCGTTGATACCTGATTCGGGGGGTAAAGATATACAAACACATCTCTGGGGCAGCCCAGGTGGGTGCATCACTATTTATTATTTGATAATCAGACTTGAACGGTCGGAATAGCGAAAAATACGATCAAGGGATACCTGCTGGCGTGCTGGGACAATTTTACAGCTTTGCGGAGAGACCATAGCTGTGCTTCGAAACTGCGAAGCCTAGATTGTAGAAAAGTTCACCTCTTCCTCGAGCTTCTGGGAGCCTGTATCTATTACCTATGGCATCCAGTGACGTATGCATCATCAAATGGAATTTTTATCAGTGAGGAGGATACGAGGATATCGCCAACTACAGGATGTTGAATGTAGTCAACTTTTGTTTGACATGTTTGAATATAGATCTAAATCTAGTTCGAAATATTTTATTCCGCATTTTCGTCGGCATACTACCAGCGTGGTGTATGGGATAGATAGATGTAGATGGATATAGATGGATATAGATGGATATAGATGGATATAGATGGATATAGATGGATATATTGTATCTTCATGATCTCGTCTACCAGCCTGTAGACTCCAACACTTATGATATTGATGGACGGGGTAGCGAACAGCACATCTGGTATGTTATGCTCGATGGATCTTCACATGAGTAGTTTCCCAACCTTGGTGGGAGGGATAACCGAGAGCGCCACTCGTCCAGGCACCTTGTTTTGATTCCAGTAGGCAATCCCATGGCGAAGCCAACTCGCATATGTGCCAGGTATAACATCGGACCCCGGGTTGTCTCTCCAGAGAGAGCCAAGAGTGACCTTGTTGACCCGCAGGATGAGCCCGTGAGCAAGTTTGAATCCAAAGCTGCGCGACAGACAGGCGTCAACGATCTCACGAGCTTTCTTTTGTTTTCCAGACTCCTCCTCCCCCTCTTTCGGCATTGGTAGTGACAACAAATCGAATGCCTCCTGTCCGTTCCAGGAAGTTAACTCATTAATCAGTTGCGACCCTTCCATGAACTCAATCGCATAAAAGTGCTCCATGCAATAGGCCGGACCGTCCCAATTATCTTCAGCATCGACCAATCCCATTACTGCAGTAGCCACCTGGCCTTGAATGATATAGTCGGTCAAAAGGCGGCTGACTTCGGCGGGACCAATGAAAGTCCCATCATCTTCGGTAATTGTAAACTCACCACCCATCAGAGGAACACCTTGAAGGAGGGGGCTAGCATGCATGCCATCGGTGCTTGTTTTACCATCACCCGCGCCCCAGAGGGCGAGAAGTAGACGATGGCAGCGAGTGAAGAGTGCGTTATCTGGCAATGCGGCGAGGAAATAATTGCATAAACTGTAATGATCTTCGCCACTGGGTGTATAAGATAGAACCTCGTATGGAGATTCAGGGTTTGCAATTGTCTCAATCCATAATGTATCGAGATCGCCAATTTGCATCATACCCACGTCCGCATAGACACCCCCATATCGTAGGAGCAGTGGCCAACGAACAAGGTCAGAAGTGTGTTGTAGCGCGTAAGGGCCGGTGAGAGTCTCATCTGTAAAAGCGCGTGGAAAAAGTGCTGGATCGGTGACATCCAAGAACTCGGCGATATTGCTTTTTGATCCAGGTTGCCGGTCGATGATTCGAACAGTCCACCCTTGCTTGGTGAATCGGCGGTGCCATGCGCGCACTGAGCGCTGCGTGTATGGGTGCATGTTGGCATAGCCTGAGTGCCAGAAAAGCCATATGTTTTTGACGCCCTTTACTGGTTGTGGATGTAGGAGGTCAAAGTCTATGTCGGCGTCTGGGCGTAGATCGAGGAGGTTAGAGGGGATGATGTGCACCCCGGTAGGTAGAAGGTGTTCCATTGTAGAAATCGAGGGTTGAGATAGAGGTAGTTGAGGTTATATTAGATACAAGCATGTCGCAAATGTTGATTCACACAGCGCGATACTGTCTTTTATAGATATACATGGATGTGTAAGTTTAGGTACCGCTGCGTGGGCGGACATATTGGCCAATCACGATGTGGCGATTAATTCTGAGCAATTATGAGTCAACCCAATTTACTCCGGACTCCGTATGTAGGTACCTGTGTACAAAGGCCCGGAACCGCGGGGCCAATCATGATGCGTTAATTAGATCTGAGCCATAATGTGTCAACCCAATTTATATTGTAGATCCAGAGGTCAACTCAGAGTTGTCTGGATCCAGCACCCGTCACGCAATTACCCCTGTTACGATACACTGTAGGGTGTATAAAACCGGGCTTCCCGTCCGTTTAACCGTACTTAGGCCCGGCGTTTATATCTCGGGGTTGGAATCGTATTGCAAAGTAGAATCATTTGATTTTCAACTGGCTTGTCCCATCTGACTTGCGCTCTATAATCTTCTTCCAAACGTACCCTAATACATACGACCATAGGGTGTGGAAAACAGGGCTTCCCGTCCGCTCAGCCGTACTTAAGCCACACGCCGGTGAGTTAGTAGTTGGGTGGGTGACCACCAGCGAATCCTCACTGTTGTATGTTTTTGTTTTTATTTTTGATCTGGTTGGCTGTATAGTCTAGTATAAGAAGCCATTTAAGCCATCGTGATATGGTGTCACCAAAATCCGCGGTGGAACTCTTTATCGCCCTGTTTTGAACCACCTCTCAACCGCCCCCTCTAGATACCTTTGTAAATAGCTAGTATTAAAATAGTGCTATTTCCCTCACTATTCCCGTGTAGCAATTTTCTATAAGGAAACTTCCACAATAGGACCCTTGTAGATGTGCCGGGCGCGCAAAGCATAGTATATAATGGCAAGGAACACGCTGCCTCCAATCGCCAGAATACTCCAATTCATTGTTCCCACTGTTGGGTCCATTGTACTTGGCCAGAAGCTGAAAAAGACGACGATGGTGACGTAGATTACCGCATAGCCGTTGATCAGGGTGCCGATGATTCCGGGGCAATGAAACGGTCCCCATACAAGCTTTGCACCGGGTACATTGACAATATCATCCTCGTTGTCATTATATCGGGAGATATCGCCACGGATGCGGCGGTAAAAGAGCAAAACAGTAACCATCAGGTAAGAGAGGTAGATACCCGACACTGCCATGGACACAATGTCCTCCATAGCAGTATTGGAACCAATGTTAATCAGGGAAAGCAATACAGCGATGGTCACTGTAAGGAGGATGGCGAAAATAGGCAACTGTTTCGTGGGGGAAACCTTGAACAAGAAATGTTAGGGCCATGCTAAACTTCTGATTGATAAATAAGTACTTACTTGACTCCACAATCGCCACCCTGGAACTCCCCTATCTCTCGAGAAAGACCAAAGCTGCCGAGACGCCGCAGCTAGGAGACCCATGAGGGAGCAGACATAAATAGTGATTACGATAGCACACATGGTTAATGAACCCGACACTGAGTTTGTTGCTTCCATGAAGATACCCATAAAGTTATACCCAGTGGTTTTCCCCAGCTTACCACCGAGGTCGGAATCGGTGCAGAACATCATGACAAGTATCATACCAAACCCGAGGCAGCCATTGATACCGACACTGATCATAAGGGCGTTGGGAATGACAGTCGAGGCATTTGAAACCTCTTCGGACATCTATTTGAGGTGTTGTTAGCTAAAATCGGATAGAGGAAAGCATAATTCCAAGGAAACTTACATGTACGGCGGCATCACCTCCAGCGAAGGCAAAGGCACAGCTGGTCATACCAACGAACCAGGATAGTCCTTGTGTGGCAAAACCTCCTCCATTTTGAAAAGAAAGGAAAACCTGCTCCTTTGTGTTGTGATCCGCCATATAGGCGAGGGGGATGATGATGCCGAAGAATCCAAGAATATGTACAACCAAAATAACGGCCTCAATGCGGGGCAGCAAGTTGCCGCCGAGCAAGTTCACGACCAATGCGAGAATGAGCGAACCCCAGACAATCAATGTCCCTTGCCAAGGCAGAGCATTGTAGAGGCTGTTTCCTAGGATCGCGGCACCTTGTATCATCTTTCCTGTTAAAAAAGCACAGGCGGCGAAGGCACTCTGCCAGCCGAGAACAGCAAACCATCCTACGGCTCCAAGTGTCAGCGACAATACGCAGTTTCACTCTGGGCATGATGCGGTGAATTTACCTGTAATAAAGCTCAGGAACTTCTGGAGTCCGGCCGGGGCAAGCATGGCAGCCCAGTGGTACTGGCCTCCTGCCGTAGGCGCCCTATTTGGCAGTTAGCTATGAGGCTAGCCTTAGGCAAATAGAGAATGAGCATAACATACATGGAGGCCAATTCCGACAAGACCATGAAATTGGCAAAACAGCCAACCCACCCAAAGATGTAGGCATAGATCGCGCCACCGGAGCCGCCACTAATATATGTTAGAGAATGTTGCAAGGCAGTAGGTCATTGACAGGAACACACTTCGTGAGAGGGCCAGTGAAGGTGCTAAGCAACTGATTAGCGATGGATTACGTGAAAATTTGGAGATGGACCAGCTAACCCAAGCAGGCCTTCCCAAGTGCCCAGAATAGTACAGCTGAAACCGAGGATCGAGAGAATGCCGAAGTTTCGCTGATTAGTATCAATACTCCGATCGGGTAAGATGTTATGACTTTGAAGGATGCATTGCATACCTTAAGGACTGGCTTCTTTCCCATCCGCTGGAGATGCGCATTATCACGGTCCACCTGCCCACCGACAGAAGTATTGCTCTTCGTTGCATAGGCCACCATGGCTCCTTTTTTTCAACGAATATAATGGCGATAAGTGGAAAGTGAACATAAACGTAAATATGAGGGATTCAGGCGTGTTGAAAGTACAAAAATGCGAGAGAAAAGCTCCGATGGTGGAGTATCGGAATGCGGGTGGAAGAGAGTATCCAATTTGACTAGAGATGCATGTGTTGGGAGTACATGGGTGGATGGCGCTAACGCATATATGTTTGTTCCAATTTAATCTCAGGGCCGCTCCGAGGCTCCAAGGGGCTACAGGGCCCATCATGCGCAGTGAAACAATGCCCACTGTGTCGATCACACGCGGGAAGGATCCCCTAGTGAGCGCACCATTCCCAATTTAACTATGCCACAGCTATTATATGTGGGGCGTATATCGGTAATGGCTACTCATAGGGCAAGAAGAAATTGAGGGTTGAATCAATGCGAGGGGCCGGGGGCCAGATCGGGGCGAATTCTTCGAGTAAAGGGGGAGGGTTGAACGCGATTAGACTTCTCGATATTGCCATACCCTTTTACAATCATTATCTGGAAGGAAAGAAATACCAATTAAGTGAGAAAGAAGGCAAAATGGCATGCAGAAAAACAGACCAAACACATAGAACGCATAGAGAGATCAAGATAGTATGGCAAAGGAACACAGCATCACATGAGATTGAGGAACCTGAAGGAGCTACAACACCCCTTCAGAGACCTTCAAATACATAGTAAATAGTAATGCCGATAACTGCTGAGAGGGGATTTGCATCCGAGCCACCCTTTTCTGGGTACTGGAAATCAAATGTGCGGACTACTAGATCGCGCAGTGAGATAATAAAAGCACAAGGCATATTCTCTCAGCATGATTATGGGCTCTAATACTTTCCTTCTTTTCTCTTTTCAAGTAACTCACCCCCCTTCACATATTTTGGTTCAATGGGGACACGCTTCAAAGGTGATACCAAAGATCCGGCCGTCAATGTGACCACATGGGTCCTCTTGGTCACGATCATTTTCAGTGTCTCTGCTCGATTGGTCACTAAAATTCGACTGTTCAAAAGGCTCACCACGGATGATCTTCTGATAATTGCATCTTTGCTTCTTGGAATCGGTCAGAGTATTGTTGTTTCGCTAGCAGTTGAGTCGGGTTATGGAAAGCATTCTAAAGATGTCTCCAGCGCCGAGATGGAACAGGTGATGAAAGTACGTATCTTCCACCTTCTCGACAATCACGTACTTGTTTTGCTTTTGGAACCAAGGCTGATGTGCTCATCTTCAGAACCTTTGGGCCGGGTCTCTTCTGTACCTTCTAAGCCTCACGTTCTCGAAATTATCTCTGGTCGTGTTTATCCGGAGTCTTACACCATCCGCCAAAGATAAATGGCTCGCCCGAGGTGTCGAGGTCATTATATATGCCTGGGTAGTTGTTGTGATCCTTGGAACTGCATTTCAATGCTCTCTGCCACATACTTGGGATTTCCAGAATGGCCAGTGTTTTAACCTGGTTAGTGATGTCTTCTTTTGTCGCTATCATTTCCTACGCCCCGACTTTGAACAATACTAATTCGATTCAACGAGCCCATCCAGTTAACTTGGCGTTACTTCATCGCTATATCCAATATCATGACCGATCTCTTGATTGTCGCTCAGGCAATGATCCTTATTTCTAGTGTCCAAACGACCATGGGGCGACGCTTGGGTTTTGCAGGTATCTTCCTGCCTCGGCTCTTGTGAGTAACCCGGCTCTACGCCATGATCTCTCTGCCATAGTTCCAAACTCAAAACTCATCCTCTTTCCCTCTTTAGTGTGACGGTCGCAACGCTCGTCGAGCTCGCTTTTATTAAGAAAGGCACGGAAACCAACGACCCAACGTTTCAGATGTGTGAAATCACCATTTTCGAAGTGCTCATTCAGTGTCTAAGTATTGTGACAGCCTGTTGGGGACAATTGAACCCCTTCCTATCCTGGATGCGATCGAACGGGCTCAAGCTCGATGGCGTGGAAGAGCCGACTTCTTGGAGCTACAAGATGCGATCGCAGTCGCAGTCACAGGGGCGGTGCGAGTCGCGGGACCATAATGTCAAGTTCGAGAACAAAACCTTCCCCTTACCGATGCGACGAGATCAAATTTTGGTTACGCAGGATTGGGAGGTTGATAGCAAGTCAAGCCAGACGCACATAACGGGGGAGTTGGAGACACACCCCTAGCCTAGCAATGGTGGCAAGTGGTCGCCCGGCCAACACGGCTACTTGACAAATAAGCATAACAAGCTTTTCACATCCCGTCTGGCGAAGGGTCCCGATATATTCCGTAGATAGCGTGCGTTCTTTTGTTCATGGACGCAATATTGAGCGCATCGTATGATAGGACAGGGGGTTGTTGGGGGCCAAAGCATAACTTCTCATCCTACCGGGCTAAGCTTTTCGTTATGTGCGGCATTTTGGAATTTATCCATGTCGTGGGCTTACGAATCTAGGCAACCATTGCAACTTCTCTTATCGGTTCGCAACTCTTCCATCTTTCGAAGGTAAAATGCACTTTTCCCCCTTCTAAGCCGCCCCTTGCCCCCGGAAACCACTAAGCGGGTTTAATTCTCACTCTGGGGCCTTCCAATTATTTTTTACAGTGAAATAGCCCCTTCGTTCATAAAATTGGATTAAACAAGTTTGTCTGGGTGTGAATTCCCTAATCAATATCTTTTCGATATAGACTTGAACACGTATTCAACCCAATTTCAACATGGGATCATCATCCAATCCTCTTGTGCTAGAACCAGCGACAATCCAAGACGTCCATGGTATCACTGAGGTATGGTTCGCTTCCTTTACACAGCCGGTGATCGGGCAAAATTTCCCCAACACCCCCGGTATGCGCCAATGGCACCGGGATTGGCACATGGCGGATATTCAAAAGTCCCACTGCAGATACCTGCGAGTAGTTGACCCCGAGTCGAAAGATGAGCAAGGCCGACCGTGGATAGTTGCCTTTGGCAAATGGGACCTGGCCATGCCTGATGAGCGAGGTCGTCGCTTTCCGATTTGGCATGCGGACTCGCCTTACGAGCAATGCGAGGCTTTCATTACAGAACTGGAGCAGGCGAGGAAACGCGTCATGGGTGACGAGAAACATTACTGTATGGATGAGATCCCTTCGAAAGTCACAAAGAAATAATCACTGACACACGCAACCGAAAAAAAGACCTGGATACCCTTGGTACTCATCCTGATTATCAGCGGCGCGGAGCTGGCTCTATGCTTGTCCAGTGGGGCTGCGACCTGGCAGATAAGGATGGTGTTGCGGCCTACGTGGATGCTAGCAAGGAGGGCGTATCGCTTTACCAGAAACATGGCTTCGTGGATTTCAATCCACCCGATGCGGATGTGGCTGCGATGGCTCGCCGTAAGGTGGCTCCGAGCGATTACACTTAACTTACGGACTATTGTTAAATAATGCGAGCTCTGTCATTGGAGAAAAGGAGAAAATAAGTTTCACCTTACTCGCTCGGATATTCAATCGTCCCTAGTTGTTGGATCTCGCTGGGGTTTATTCCATAAACCTGCCCTATCGCATTAGTTTTCTAGGTATAGACTACCTCCTTAACACTTAATGCAGCATTGCAAGCGCATCTGTCATACGATCTATCAACTTGACAGAATAGCATACTATTCTCCTCCGAGATCCTCGAGAAACACATACGATGACATTTCCACGTAAGACCGCCAGTCACGAGACTTAGTATTGCGTTCTAGCTGCTTCTTTCTGGGGAAATACAACCTAGTCCAGCTTCATCTAGAAAAAGGAGCCAACGTGAATGCGTAGGGCAGCAACAACGAGAATTCTCTGCAGCCTAATTTCATAAACGGGAATCTAGAGGTTGCCCAGCTCCCTATCTATCACCCGGGTTGAACAATCTACCGAACAAGCCCGGGGTACCGAGCTTGTGGTAGAGCTTTCATTATTAGACACCACTATTTGCAATACACACACTCCGTGAGTTACATACTTAACCGCAATCATTTGATTATCCATTCTTAAATACATGGAAGTGGAAATACCCCGGGAAGAAAATTTATCTTCATATGGTAGATGTTGTTGAGAAAAATCCTAGTTAGGTGTAAGTGATTTCGCGGCCTCAGACCTAATGTCCCAAGATCATTGTTTCGGCCTTGACATCGTATTTGTGGTCTTTCTGCCACTTCTTTGAATATTTTACCCCGAATCCGTCGCTGAAAACTTCTCGGATAGCTTCCAACGGCATCCCTTTGCACTCGGGGTAGAAAAAGACTACGAAAACCCAACCGAAGAAGCAGATTCCGGCATAGAACCCAAAAGCACCACTTGGGGTCCAACTCTTCATCATGGAAAGGAAAGTCGATGAAATGATTATGTTCGTGCTCCAGCATGTGACGGTGTTCTAGTCCCGCTCGTTAGCATGTGTATCAAGAACATGGGATACGGGTGGACATACTAGCATAGTTCCCACTGCTCGAACTTCGAGAGGAATTAGCTCAGTGCCGATCCATGCAATAGTGGCGACGCCAGACGAAAAGCAAGCGACGTAGCAAATGATTGCGACGAGAACCAGGGTGCCTGGCCAGCCAACATTGTTACTCTCCACAACCAGGGTCTGGGTATCTATTGGGATATATCGAAACGCAATGACAGCGACGATCATGCAGATTGACATTCCAAGGACGGTGATTGTCAGAATAATACGACGGCCAAATCTGTCCACAAGTACGAGATTGACAATTGAGAAGACGAAATTGGTAGCGGAGACTGTGATGCCGACGGCGGTGGAATTGCTGAATCCAACAATTGAGAATAGCGTTGCGGCATAATACATTAGAGTGTTAAACCCTCCAAGTTGACTAATTGCCATAACCGTGCAGGCAGTCAGAACTGCACGGCCGGTAGAGGGTGTGGTGAAAATTCGTTTAAAAGTGACCCACAGGGATTCCTTGTTCATAGCTTGAGTCACTTCTTGAATGGATAACTCGATTGATCTTATTTTAGCTTGCCGTTGCTCAACCGTCGACTTCGGGTATATTCGTAGAAGAACAGCATTTGCTGCTTCCGCTTTGCCATGAGTAACTAGCTGTCGAGGTGACTCTGGACAGAAAAACAGTAACCCGGCGAGTAAAAGAGCTGGAAAAGCTCCAATACCGACGGTCGCTCGCCATGCCTCGCCTTTTACACCAGCAAAGGCCGCACCTAGTGCGCTTGCCAGGAGTTGTCCGAACGTGACACTCATGTTGTTGAACGCAACCATGCGGCCACGGTATTGCGCAGGTGCTAGCTCGCCAACTGCGGATCGGTGAGCCTATGGAGACAGCTACTTGGGAGGAAAAATACTTACTGTAGAGTGGAACGATCATAGATGCGCTTCCTACTCCGAGACCTACGACAAATCTTCCGGTCGCAAATTGGGCAACAGAAAAAGCGCTTGTCTGGAGGATAGTTCCAATCACGAATACTAGGCAAGCGCCCCAGATAGGCCAACGACGACCAAATCGATCAGCAGTGAGACCGGCTCCTACTGCGCCAACCAGAGCTCCGCCACTTGTGAGGGATGTCACCATTTCCTGTTCATTCGAGGTAAGGGCATGGCCGAGCGATGATTCGATTGTGACTAGAACGGCGGAGATATAACCCGTGTCGTACCCTACATAACACCTCATTAGCCAATACTCTCTCGCTGTTGCATAGGTAAGATACCGAATAAGAGACCACCGATAGAAACGACAATGGAGATCAGCCAAGCTGTCTTGGAGGCAGCTGTTGCCTCGATGCTGCTGAGGTCGGACTGATCTTTCACATAGTCTGAAGGGTCAACATGTTCTATCTGTTCAACAGAATCCTTGGATATATCCTCCAATTGCTTTTCTTCTTTGTCAAGGCGCATGTTGTTATTAACCTTGGTGTCAGGAATTTCAAACAATAGTCGAGGCAATTATGGGGATAAAAGATATGAGAGTCAACAGGAGGGTCCTTCACAGGCAATTGGGGTGATTTATAGACATGTGCCAATCGACAATGCTTCAATTCAGCTTACCATCAATGATCCAAGACGGATCGATTTTGGACCGCGAAAGGCTATTTCCCCACGGGGGTGCATTTCCCCACGGGGGTGGGGGTGGATGATACTCCTCATTGGGTTGCCATGGATAAGATTTGCGGGAAATTCGGCTTTTCTGGGAGGGGCTGTGGCAAAAACGAGTTATTTGGCGATTATTGGATCACCCCTGGGGAATAATGCCAAGTCAACGTATCACCGTAGCCGGGGAATACTTCCTCAACGAGAAGGGATTCTTGGGACTTGCAACTGTCGTCATATTCCCCGCCATTCCCCCGCAATCTGCAAGGAATTTAAACACATCATCCGCATTAAGCCTAGCCGATTGGGTGCTGAGGGCGCTTTGAGGATTGGCCATGCAGAATAATCGGCTCTAGTACGGCTAGGCGGGCGTGAATCCCACATTCACACTCTATGGTCGTTTGAACTTTGCTGGCTCAAACCCCGGCACTGCGTACGTTGCATGAGAATTTGTAACGCAATATTAACCCACTGGGAATAATACAGTTTTTGTTAAAGGAGTGTATTCGTGCGAAAAATTCACAACTAAGGCTCAGATAACAGAAATGCTTATAGAATATCGCTCAAGCGGGTGAACGAAAAGAATGTCAACGGTCCCAAGGGATGTGTGTCATGGATGCAAAGCCGATCACATAGGAAAGAGCGTAAACCCTTATTTCAGAATGTGTAGCTACTTGTCCGCCACAAGGTTTCCACCACTGTCTAGATGGCCACGACATCAACCCAGAAGCGAGTATCGTCGCTCTGGTATTTTTCATCACTCTCAATCTGCTGTTGGATCCATGCTACGGCATTGATGTATGCTGTCGATAAATTTAGCCGATCGGTCCATGCACTAGGGGATTGTATCAGATGGAACTCACTCGTGATGTCCTCCGTGCCCGGGTTGTTGACACCTGATTCTCCATTGCGGTGGCCACTGAACCAGGTTTCATAACCGTAGTGCTTCTCGCCGTCATGACGAGCTTGGATGTCCTTCTTCAGATCCGAACTAGCGCTCCAGTATTAGCCAATATATACTTAGGCCTGCAAAGCACAGTAGAACTTACTTGAGAATAGCACCATTGCTGACCTGGTCTACGCTCTGACCGAGGAATTCAGAGGCAGAATTTCTCAGAATGAACCAATTCTGCTTGAACACACCGAAGTTGGTGCCGTCGCCTGACTTTCCATCACCTAAATTATGAATGTTAGCACCACTACTCGTTTCGACGGCCAACATTTGGACATACCATATGTGTAATCAGTAGTCATGGTGTCGCTAGTACTTGTAAGCTGGGATATTAGGCACAGAGACCAAAGAAGCAAACTTACGTCTCCAGCATAGCAATGGCCATGTCACGAGTGTTGCCACCGGCATTCAAAACCTCCTTCTTGCGAGCCCCAAGCCCAGCAACGGTGTAGCTGCCCCGGTTGTCTGCGACCACCGCAGACACGAAAGCCAAAGAGGTGAGAAGAGAGATGAGCTGCATCTTTGGATAAGACGAAAACGAATGAATTGTTTACTGGTTGATTCAGTTGGTAGATTTGTGATGCTTCAACATTTTCGAGACCAGCAGCTTCCTTTTATAAGGGAGATTTCACACTCGTGGATACATGCTATGCGTATGTTGTATTCAATATTTGGACCAACGGGAATAGTATGACTGAATTCTTGTCCCACTTCCCGTGTGAGAATTGGAAATGATTATCTTGTTTCAGGATTTGATTCACAGTAAATTGGAAAGTTCATTTGCACTCTGTGTGAACCTGGTAAATATAAGGACACATCCCCATTTTTCTTCTTGTTTGCCGCGCGGATCTTTCTCCATTAATATGGATGTAGTTTCAGGTACTACACTAGTCTCAACCTTCCAAGTATAGTTCAAAGGAGATGATGTGTTCTCACAATTGAACAGAGAAGTAGGTAACAAGGGGAGCCAAATATGGATGGGAGGAGGAGATTTGTGAGACTGCATATCTAAATAACTCGGAAAAGGATCAGGCTTTAGGTCAAATGATATCATTGAGAAGTGTTATCTCTGATAATGTGAACAACATAAATATTATAAACAGGATCTACACTTTGGCGAACCTCGGGGGTTCCTCGGAATTTCCTGTTTCGATCGGACTTCCGCCCACCGGGGGCTAGGTACAATGGGCAATTTACGTAATCCAACCAGGTGTCCAAGTGCTGGAAGTGTGCATCTATAAGTCTCTTTGTCCTCAAAATATCTCATAAAAACGTTAGATTCAGCATGATCAACATGGGTCTTCTACATATTACAATGGGGAGAAAAAGCAGAATTTTAACACAGCAAGTCCAGCTCTGGGAACTTGGCCCGCCCGTTGTTAGACCGAGCAGGCCCATAGTTGAGACCCCATTCCGATTGTATTCCAAGGTTGTTCGAAGAGCCAAGAAGTAAGAGCAGGGTATCTCTGTTCTTGTACGGAGTACGGAGTACAACATACAGTAATGATAATCGTGCCAAGCCCCCAACGCACCTTCCCTGTGTTGGTGGGCCCCAGTCAACGATCAGTCAGTCCCACTGAACAATAAATCGTGAAATCAAGTACCTTCGGTATCGGCATACCATACAAAAGGTACAAAGGTACAAATCCTTTTCTCAATCCTCGAACTAGATAAAGGGGAGATAAGTGGACTAATAATGACACAACTCTCTTTGTATCGTTAGAATGCGAAGATCAACTTTAAATAATTAATATATATATATGTGTGAAAAGCAAATTAAAAAGCACTAACTATATATAAACAACGGAGGAGTTAAGTTTTTATTCCGCTCTTGAGTACATCTGAAACCTGTTATTGATATCAACACTAAATGAACTAACACCCTCTTGGATTACATGTATAGACCTGTAATATCTTTGCCTACGTTGTATATAGGGGGGTAAGAAAAGTAAAAGTTGTGGTTTATATTCAATTTACCGGTTATATGGGTAACTATACAACAAAATCCAAGTTCATGATTTATTATTTAGTGGGAATTATCACAAGGAAGTTGTGTTGGGCGCTTGGATTAGCCTCAAGGAACCATGAGTATTGATTTTAAGCTGGCCGAGAAGAGGACAGCATATAAGGGAGACATATGGGTGCATGTCTGCTTGTCTAGAGAAAAGAATGAGATTATTGAAGAAATTAAGGCTGAGGCTATGACTTTAACACTGCTTCTACGTAGTATAAACTCAGTATTCTAATTCTTCCACCCCAATGCAATTTCGTGTACTTCTTCTGACGCGCAACTGGTTTAAGCAAGGGATCAAATATCAGTTCCCCTGCAGTCCCTCCATCCCCTGCCCGCCACTGTATCAGCATCAAGACAAACTCAGTAACACCTGCTTCTTGTCCCCTCAATGACCGCATGCTTTTCTTTTCTCTTTCTTTCAAATCCTCCCTCTTTCGAAATAAGATTGGGAAACTTAAGGCTATGTGCTTCTTCTCGCCGTAAGATGAACCTGATGATTGAAAAATCAAAAGGCCGGCCCCACAAAACAATTCTGAGAACTGATCGGATTGTTGGAATACCTATGATAATAAGTTCACTATATCATCCTCACCAGCGTGCCTAGGCTCCATATATCAACACTATATTCGCAATCAGCTCCAGTGATAACTCCTAGGCTCGAAACCTACTTGGCTGCACAGCATCATTAGGAGAGGAGTTGTCTCCGGAAATAGAAAGCACGAAATTCGCCGTGATTACGGGCCTCTCTAAGCTATCTACTTAAAACCCGAAGTTATTTTGTGAAAGGTATATTGTTCGACCCTTTGAGGATTTCTAAGATTGGATTATCTACCTAATCCCGGTCAACCGCGTCGAGTCCAGGGTTGTATCTAAGAACCATAGTACGGCAGTGTTGGGCGATCACAACATGTCAAAAGGCGGAGTTCCTCGGACTACCTGTTTTGATCGGACTTCCGCCCACTGTTGGTTCAAATAGGTAATTTGACGGAATAAAAAAGAGGTCACAGCTTGACATTTTCGGCCGATCTAAATTGTAGGTGGGGTAGCGGGTATCAGAGGTAGCCTCGCGGCCTCTAAAGATATTGTATCAAGAGGACGATGATTACGTCCTATTCAGATGGACATGTTGCATTCTCTACGGAGTACATATTTCAACCTCAATGGTTCAACCTGCACAGAGATGGACCCAGTTTCTTTCAAGTGGCCCCTGCTAATATAAATTCCCCATTCCATCCCCTCCAAACCCGCTCTTCAATTGAATGCGCCCTGAAAGATAAGCGAAAAACTTGTCTTCTATCTGAGCCGCAAACATGCCTTTTTTCAAGCAACCCCTTTCCACGGAATGGACATTCAAAGACCGAGATGACGAAACACTGGATGCGTGGATGCCCGTGTCGGTAGTGCCTTCCACCGTGCAGCAGGATCTGATTGCAAACAAAAAGTTGCGAACTCTACCACCTTACAATATGACATGGACTGGACTGACGTTTCTTTATCATATAGGCTTGAGGATCCTCACCTAGGCCTAAATGAACTCAAGGCGCGCTGGGTCAACGAGAAGACATGGGTGTATCGACACGTTTTTCAGCGACCGGAAATACCTGCTGGTGCAACCGTCGCACTGGTGTTCGATGGCCTGGACACTTTTGCCTCAGTTAGGCTCAACGGTGTGGCAATCCTTGAGTCTAGCAATATGTTCATAGGCTACCGCGTGGATATAACAGAGGTCCTAGGGTTACCCAACAGCAAAAACGTTTTAGAGATCGAATTCGACTGCGCCCAGCTCAAAGCGACCGAGCTACGAAGCAAGGACCCGAATCATAAATGGGTCGGCATTTTCGGAGATAAGGCGCGCTTAGCTGTGCGCAAGGCTCAATACCATTGGGGTTGGGATTGGGGCCCAGTCATCATGACAGCTGGTATCTGGCGTGAGGTGCGATTGGAAGTCTACTCTGCACGAGTAGAAGACCTATGGCCGCAGACAAACCTCGCTCCTGACCATAAATCCGCGAGTGTCACAGCAGTTGCTAAAATTGATGCGGTCAATTCGGAATGCTATGTCGCTCGCTTCCATTTGACTCTACGTGGACACGAGATCGCAAGCCAGGAGATGCCCATAAGCGCCGATAAAAATGCCCAAGCCACTTTTGAGGTCAACAATCCCGAATTATGGTGGCCACATGGCTACGGCTCTCAGCCCTTGTACGAAGTGTCAGTCTCTCTCTTGTGTGATGGAAACGAGCTACACAATGTGTCTAAGAAATTTGGTATTCGTTCCGCCGAAGTCATTCAGCAGCCGGATAAACATGGGAAGTCATTTTTTTTCCGAATCAACGGAGTAGATATTTTCTGTGGAGGTTCTTGCTGGATCCCTGCCGACAACCTCCTCCCTAGTGTCAGCGCAGAGCGATACCGGCAATGGATCGAGTTAATGGTGGCGGGTGGCCAGGTCATGACCAGGTATGCTAGACCAGAACCTACCTTTTAGAGGCCGTCTAACGATAATTTGAAACAGGGTATGGGGTGGCGGGATTTACGAAGACGATGCTTTCTATGACGCTTGTGATGAGCTCGGCGTACTGGTATGGCAGGACTTTATGTTCGCTTGCGGCAACTATCCAGTATGGCCGGACCTACTAGAGTCTGTACGACAGGAGACAGTCTTTAACATACGCCGATTAAGGCATCGCCCTTCAATAGTGATCTACGTTGGAAACAATGAAGATTACCAAGTCCAGGAGGAGATGGGACTGACTTACAACTTCGAAGATAAGAGCCCAGAAAGCTGGTTAAAGTCCGACTTCCCGGCACGCTACATCTACGAAAAATTACTACCGGAACTGGTATACGAGTTCTCGCCGGGTACTTTCTACCATCCAGGAAGTCCATGGGGTGATGGGAAAGTCTCAAGCGACCCTACTGTGGGAGATATACACCAATGGAATGGTTAGCCAACCCAATACCTAAAGAGGATTCCAATGGGATTTCTCATCGAACATTGTGACTGATGGGTTTACAGTGTGGCATGGAACCCAGGAGAAATATCAGATCTTTGACAGCATGGGAGGCCGCTTTAACAGCGAGTTTGGGATGATAGCCTTCCCGCATATGTCGACGATCGAGTACTTCCTTGAAAATGAGAAAGACAAGCACCCACAGTCCCAAGTTATGGACTTCCATAACAAGGCCGATGGCCACGAGAGGCGATTGGCGACGTACCTAGTGGAGAACCTACGCATGGCTACTGATCTGGAGGTCTGTTGTATCACGGTCGACCGAAGTATAGAGGAAGAAGAAATTACTCACACTCTACTTAGACATATATCTATCTCACACAGGTAGTCCAGGCAGAGACGATGATGTTCGGATATCGTGGATGGCGCCGTCAATGGGGTGATGATCGGAAATGCGGTGGAGCGCTTCTATGGCAGTTAAATGACTGCTGGCCGACAATCTCGTGGGCAATTGTGGACTACTTCCTGCAGCCAAAACCTGCATATTACACAGTTAAGCGAGTGATGGAGCCCCTAACAGTTGGTGTACAACGCGCACACCACGACTGGAGTGTGGTACACGCAGAACCAGCCAAACAGAGCCAATACAAGATGTGGGTTGCCAGTAGCCGACAGCAAGTGCTGTATGGGACTGTCGAGTTACGATTCATATCGGTGGTGACTGGTAAGGACCTTCGTGCTCCGGCTATCTTTGAGAATGTTACCATTTCAGCCAATGGTACTACCGACATCACAAATGGAACCATCGATCATGTCGCCGAGCCCGAGCCACATGTTCTGGCTGCACGGCTACTGATAGATGGTCAGATTGTGGCCAGGGATATTGACTGGCCACAGCCGCTAAAGTACCTCGAGTTTTCTAGTCGTGGACTAGAAGTGAAGTCTCAGCCAGGAGCATCAGCGGGAAAACAGCTCCTGGTGATAAGCTCACAGAAGCCGGTGAAATGTCTTGTCTTCGAGGAGAGGAAGAATGTGCGGATCAGCGACAGCGCTATAGATATTGTTCCAGGCGATGAACAGGTTGTGGAAATTACAGGGCTAAATGACAGTGACCCACCGTTGGAATATCGTTACCTGGGTCAATAGGCTATTTCAACCATTTTGGGATCAGGGCTGTGATACAATCGACGCTTACAGTGTAAAATGGCTACAATTTGAAAACAGAAGGGTTTTGTTATAAGACTATTTCATCGGTTGAAAGAACCGCGATGTTAGCGACTCAAGTGTGTTGTGAGGGAAACATGGTCTTCAAATTCGCGTGACACATTTTGTGAAGAATTAGTTTACAGGTTCACACATCCTACTTGTCATAAGAGGTGGCTGACATTTATTTGACTTGATTACAATCTTGAATTTAATACTTGTTGAGGCGTCTGTCTCAGGCCGAAAAGATCTCTGCTATATGATCAACATCTCTTTCTCTATCTACTTAGTTGACTAGCTTAATACATGGTTCTCATTCCATTTCACCTCTCAAATACCCCGCCACCTGCTGTAGTAAGTGGCTGGGTAGAATACATAGATATCCTATTATGAGAAGCCATATAAGATAGCTGCTTGCGAGAGACCATCGCCTGATACCGGATGGGAAAAGCAAGAAATAGAATCACATGGAATTTGATTGTGACTTGTACTAGTTACTCCGTATCCGCAAATCCGCAAACCCGCCGGTTTCACGGGGAGGTCCGTAATCTTGGGGCCGAAATACCCGAGGTCAATCCGGGGAAGTAAAGGCGGAGTGTTGCCTTTTTAGTCGAGGAGTAGGCGGAGGAAGCCGAGTCATTTTCGGTAAAGAACATGTTACCCCGGTTTTCTAGGTGGCGATCGGCTTCGATCACCCCTTCGGGGTAACTCGCACCCCCACCGGCGAGCCGAACAGCCTCTCGTGATTGGACAAATAAAGTGCAAGGAATTTGAGCAGAACCGTTTCAGCTAAGGACATCCGAGACATTCGCTAACGTGCCACTTGATACCGACGAGGAGAGAAAACCACGCGGCATCACTGCAAGAATAAATATCATGCTCCAGCCATCTTTTCCCCCACAAATTGAGTCATTATTTTTGTGGGTTACATTCCTCGGCGTGGAGAACACGACCTCTTCAGCACAATGGTGGAGAATACAAATTCAGATCAACTAGTCGAGAAAGAAGGTGCCACCGATGCTATGCACCAGGAACATAAGGAGGGCGTCAAGGTTGAGACTGTTCAGGGCTCACTGGCTCTCGACATAGCCAGGCGGACCAACCCCCCAAACCCCTGGAGCGCTCAGATGAGAAAGTTATATTTATTTTTGACTGTGGCATACCTTTGCTCAGCCGTAAACGGTAGGAGAGAGTCACTTGATACCCAATGAAAATTTCTTCACTAACCAGTTCAGGATTTGATGGCTCCCTTATGGGTGCTCTGCTTCCCATAGAGCAGTTTCGTGAAACCTTCGGCTCTGGCCTGGTCGGTTCCAAGGCCTCCTTGATTCAAGGAATGTACACCATTGGAGGTGTATGCGCGCTGCCTTTTGTTGGAGTGTTCCTGGATACTTGGGGTCGACGATGTGGCATGTTTACTGGGTCCTGCGCTATCATCCTGGGTACAATTATTGGTGGTACTGCCAACCACATGGATCAATTGCTCGCAAGCCGATTTTTCCTTGGTACGTGTCTAGACCTCACCCGTCTCGGATAGCCCTGTTAACAACATATCTCAGGGTGGGGATACTCCTTGGCCTCCTCCGCCGCACCCGCCTACGTCGTCGAGATGAGTCACCCTGCCTATCGCGATATTCTGACAGGTTTATACAATTGCCAGTACTTCGTCGGCGCTATTGCCGCTGCTGGTGCTTGCCGCGGATGCCTGAGGTTCGAGAGTTCGCTCGCGTGGCGCGTTCCCATTTGGTGTCAGTTGATTTCGTCCTGCATGGTAGTGTTAGCTGTTTGGTTTATACCCGAATCGCCTCGTTGGCTCTACAGCCATGGGCGCCGCGAGGAAGCCTGGGATGTTATCACCAAGTATCACGGTGAGGGCTCACGGGATAATGCCTACGTTCATCTGCAGATCCGAGAATACGAAGAGGCGATCAACCTAGAAGGTTCGGATAAGAAGGCATGGGACTTTAGAGCTCTCGTTAACTCAAAGGCCGCGAGATGGCGCCTTATGTGTGTGGCTATCGCATCTTTTATGAGTCAGTGGGCGCAGGCTGGTGTCACGACTTACTACATTGCCGGGCTTTTAGCGACAGCTGGTATCACTGATACGACGCGAGTGCTAGATGTCAATCTTGGCAACACAGTTCTTTCTGCTGGTTTGGCCTATTTGGGAAGTTATCTGGGCCCCAAATTCCGACGCAGACCTATGATGATCGGCGCATCTATCGCTTGCAGTGTACGTACATACGCCCCGCATGGTTCTTTTTATTTTCAATGTTCTACGCTAACATTTTTGGATATGAAGATCTGCTTTGCGTGTTTTGCGGCCACAACCGGAGTATACACAAAGACATTGGAAACAGGAGCGGCCACCGCGTCTATTGTGTTTATATTCTTGATCGGCGCTTGTTTCAGCTTTGGTTGGACCCCATTGCAAGCCATGTATGCCGTCGAATGTCTTTCATACGAGACTCGTGCTAAGGGTATGGCCATGTACTCCGTCTTCACCAATATTGCCTTGCTGGTGAATCAGTTCGGAGTCGGAAATGCTATCGACGTCATTGGATGGCATACATACATCATCTTGGCCGGCTGGAACATCGTCCAGGGAGTGTTAATCTACTTCTTTGCTGTTGAAACAAATAATCGGACCCTGGAAGAACTCACGGAGATTTTTGATGCTCCCAATCCACGGAAGAAGAGTACGGAATCACAACAGGTTTTGGTTTCTGATACTGCGAACCAGGTGGTGGAAGTTAAGGGTGCATAGGTTATTCACCCCAGTTCTTTCCTGTGTTTTTAGTTGCCACGAATATCTACCACGTTTATGTTATGGAAATGCTCAATGTTTTACTCACCGGGGTTTTATTGCTTGTTGTGTTCATGTACATTAGACTTGGTAAACGTCTATTCTAGTCTTAAGGAGTATAACGTGCGCTTTCTCTCGCCTCTATCAAACAGTAGAACCTCGAGGCAGGCTAGTCTCAGGCTCCCAACAGAAATAAATGTGAAGTACTCTGTAGTTGTTAGTTAGGTAGTCTCTACGACGTGCCGCGTTAACCTATCTACCTGTATTTGTCATACACCAAACATTACGTAGTATCATCGATGACCGCAGTGGCGAGCGGGCTAAAAACAACCTAAACGGGGCAAGCAACATGGAGGATCATAAGTTCGCGGTAGGGAGGTTGAAGGGAAAAGGGAAAAAAGAAGATATACCCAGCAAAACGGGTTGCCCACCACCCATCCTAGGTGTTGGGCCGTGCGTTAGGCTGATTATAGGATTCATGGATTGCAGAGGTTGTGCTGGATATAAACCTCGGAACTTTGTGAGTTATTGAAGCCGAACACCGAAGGTCCACTATCACCATTCCCCACCGAGCCAATTAGCACTCTGACGATCAACTGACGATGATCTACGTATATCACACTAATGACTGGGATCTACCGAAATATTTATACGTGTGTGGGTCCGAACTTAATTGGCTCGCCTTATCTGTAAGACTGGATTGGTGAGACATGTCCCTTCATCAGGTGGGCCTTTCTGAAATTCAATAGTCCTGCAGATCTGATTACATAGTTGAGACTATAGCATGATGCATTCAAATCGAGATGGGGGTTACGGAGCAAATCGGTCTTGTTGGCTTAAAGTCGGTCTTCCACGTTCTCCTGCGAGTGCAGAGTACATAGATGTGTATTATGATGCAGATTGGATTGGTATTGTTTGTGAAATAGAATTATATATATACATTGAAGGCAATGCGACGATGATCTCAAGTTCCAGAGGAGTCCAGAAAAGACATTGCCGCATCTTCATTCTGAGTATTGAGGTCAAAAATCTCGGGCCAGAGATTGCTATGATCCCAGCTCAAATACTCCCACATGTACTGAGACGAAAGTGTTTCAAACGAAGTAGCGGTCCAATCCGAAACACGGTCTCGAGCGACCTGTTGGCCTGTATTGAACGCACTCGGAGGGGGAAAACTTTGGGGGTCGAGACTATCTCCACTTGCATTAAGTGGCGATGCCCTGGGAGCCTGAAGATTAGACTCGAGAATGCCCGAAATTACCTCAAGGGAGCGTCCAGCGGTGTGCCCGTAAGGTTTCATGCGGCCAAGGGTCAACATAGCTGTTTCGACCTGCGTCTTGCAGGCTTCGAATGAAGCAGCGGAATCATTATCTGCAACGCTAGCGGACAGGCAAATTAGTGGAACCATGGTGGCCTGGAATAACATCCAAACAGCGTTCCAACCAATCATTTGATTCAATTGGGTTGTTAAGGAGATGTCTTGGATAGAAATCGCTGCAATTTCCTGGCATTTTTGGATAGCAGTGCGTTCCTCAACCCGAATGGCCATGAAGGGAACCCGTCGCATTGCATAGTTCAGTAAAGTTGGACGATAAAGTAGCATGCGATGATTGTAAAACCGCCAACGCATCACAGTACGCACTGCATATAGTGATTCGGGACATGGCTCGTAATCTTTGAGGACCGGTGGCAGGTCATGCCACCACCGAACAAGCTGCGAGTCCAGATCGAACATCTCCGTATGTGATAATGTAGGTAGCGCAGCTAACGATTCTTGAATTTTCAAAGCAATTTTCACGAATTGGACATTTTCCGTCAAGGGCAGGACCTCAAAATATGATTCCTGTCAACGGTCAATTTAGAAAGAGAACTTCAATTCTTCACCAGGAAAAGAAAAAGGGTCGGGGGATGTGCACCTTATCAAGCCGGCTAGGCAAATTAACTGTGATACTCGGGCCAAAGTAATCCATACTTGGTCGGCCGAGCGTTTCATGACCCCAGGTCTCCAAACAGCAGAGTGACCACCAGACACGACGTTTGAATTCCTGGATTCCGGACTTCTTGGGATCGAGTATCGAATGAATATCGGAAGGTTCCCGCTGCAAGCCTAATGTAACTGCCATCCGCAGCGACGCACCCATAAGGGAGTATGCGAGATTCGGCTGGCTAGTATAGTGACAATACCAGCCACCCATGAGTCCCAGGGCCTGAACGACTTCAAGGCTAGGATTCCCGAGTGAACGTAAATTTAAGTGATTCATTGAACGCTCAAAATACACGCTGTGGGTATGATTATCTGCACCTGCGGCTGTAATATTTCCCAACGCGAGAACTATATTGAGGAGCGCAAGCCATCGATCATCCTTTCGACGACCAAGTAAGTAAGTTGTGCGAAAAGCTTCTTCGTCTATGAGTGGTGCAAACGGCTGGAAGTTGAGAAAGTAAGCATCAAGCATTTGATGTTCCGTGGGTGGGGTGCCAGGTTGAGGTACAGTTTGCGACGGGGGCAATGAGTCGGTTGGCTGTGGATCTTGATCTTTACACATGGAATGAGCAAAGTATGAGTTAACTGCTGGATGGAGCCACGCAATAACCTTCAGTGCGGCTTGAATAGATGAAACACCTAGGTAGGAAGTTGGGTGCCGAGCCGACAGGGATAATGCATTGACGTCGTCCGAGATATGTCCGACTGATTCCGAGGCGCTGGCGCAGTGAATTTCATCGAGTTGCTCTCCGGGTATTGTATGTAGTGACTCCAAACCAGGCATTTCTCCCGACAATGCAGAGTCGTGGGTGTCTAGGGATGCGGCAGCTATCGATGAGTCTTGGGGCTGAGAATATTGGGATTGTGATCCGCCTGCGGTCATCAAATCTAGCAGTTTATCCCTTGAAAAATTGGCGATGTTCTCGGGGGCAGTGTCGGGAAAAAGCCTTTCAAGTGTACTTTTGTAGTCGGGCGAGGGTATTGTCACTTTCTCCGGCTGGCTAATTTGATCAGTTCTGTCGTCAAACCTCCTGGGTTTCATTTATCGGTTTTCTTCTTTACCTTTGGGATGATCGAGGTCCCGTGTACCCACACAGCTCAGGCTTTTTGTACCATCGACAAGCTTCACAGGGCTTCTCACCATCGCATTTAATTTTGCGACGACGACACGAAGTGCAGGCTCGTGGTGTAGATCCCCGGCGACTGAGTCGTTCACTGCGCCGTTTATGCTTTGGGTTACGCAACCCCTCTTCGCCATTCTGGGCTTTGAATGCGATAAACATGACAAGGGATGTCAAGAATAGAATGAACAATCAGATGCGGGGTAAAATTCGATGTGCCACATGAAAAAAGAGAAATCATGCAAAAGATAAAGGATGCATAGATGTGTGGAGATTGAAAGAGTCTAGTCGCAGAGCTTGCGAGTCCACGGGTTTTTTCGGCCCCCGATATGCAGAGGTAAGAACCTTGGAACAGCCAATGCGGGGTTCGGCTGTGTATCCATGGATCAGGGGGAAGCTTTCCAAGGGTTGCGCCCGGTGTCTCGGGTAGGCACACAGTATATTGGCATGTTGGCTATTCATAGCTAAAGGATATCCACTCAAGTCAATATTATTTTCACTCTATCCTCCAATGAATATTCTTTGGCGTCGGCCCTTCGTTCCACTTTTAGCATTCGTTTGTAACAGCATTTCTATATCACCGGGATTTCTCCGACACTCCCATGTGTCAATCTGTCCGTTTGGAATAGGCGGGGACTAAGCCTATTTAGGCAAGAAAGAGGCGGAGCCCGGGACTTTACTGCAACTTCGTATAATCGTATAATCGTTTATCGACAATCTAGGCAGGTTCACGTGCCCGGTATTAGGTTTCTTCTATTCCGTGGTTATATCCTCGACAACTTGGCCCTCATGTGACGGTATGGAGGGAGGAGAACAGATGCAGAGCCGCCGATGTTAATAATCATCAAGGCTTTGCTGTGTTTTATTTTATACTAGATCTCAATCTGTGGCATCATTGAATGGCCTCACCCCGGATCTGCATATAAGAGGACGAAGCGCGAATTCCCCGGATTGATCCAATATACTCCACTCGCCCCAGATATGATTCTCCTGTAAAGATCCCTGATTCGCCTTGAGAGTTGCACTAAAGCATGCCCGGGAAACCCGTGAGGGGCGGAGACACATCATGAGCCTAGAAAGCTAGGATTCCCCACAATCGCAGCATATGTCTGAATCTAGGGCTTTGTTCAATGTACCTTACTTGACTTTGCATCTTGAAACCCACACCCAGAAAGGAAGCAAGAAACGAGGACATGGTATCTCCATGGGAATGTGTAATTGGAAAGTGGGGTCAAACTAATTGTTTGTCGTCTGCTACTTCCATGTCAATCGGCGAGTAGCTAGGGCCTTCGGATATGCTTGCCCTGTTGCCTTTACCATCGACCTTGCTTAAAGCAGGGACCATTTAGGCGGGGAGAATTCTCATAGAATGAGACAGCAGGAATACCGTTGAGAAATGAGATACAAATGAAAGAGGAATGAAAGAGGAATGAAAGAGGAATGAAAGAGAAATAAATGAGGAATAAAAGAAGAATAAAAGAGGGCTGGTAAATAACGGAAGTGTGAAAAGTAAGCTCCTACTCTGTACTACTTCCATGCTCTCACTTCATTCTGTTAGACCCACTGACTATGATGAGTGGAACCGGGAGCAACCTTGAAAGCCTTTTGCATCTTAGGTACCTACCTACTCCCTTCGATCTTTCTACCAACTTCGCTAAAGGCAGAGGGAGCTTTTGGCCAAGATTGCGGTACTCTCTCCAGGAAGATGCTACTATCCAAAAAATAAGAGAGTGATGGAAACACTTCACTGAGTAATTCATCCATTCTTTCCCAAAACAATGACTTCTACAAGGAGGTACCCGATATTTTTGCCAGAACACTGTACAGCTATCTTCCATCCGGACACAGAGGCAATTTATCTGCCATTGCCATCCATTGCCATCTACCGGCGTTGGTCTCTCATTGATCTCTGGAGGCGGGACCGGATCCACGCATCATCATTCTCTGTCTCAAGATTCGGAGCAGAGAACCAGAATGAGAGAAAAGGGACACACAATGGACGGGATCGGCCGCGGAATACGGAATACACTGTAGGAGGGATGTGAACTTCGAATCTTGACCAGGGTTGTCCTCAATTCTTTGACCCATTCCCCCTCGATGTGCTACAGACACGACCTAGCGTGACTCGATACGATCAACCGTAGGCGAACCCACTCAAATATTCTAACACAAGTGAGTGGTGACTATTAGAGAAGTCGAATTCAACATCTCGATCTCTACTTCAACAAGTAACTAGATTGGTCTGTACGATGCCGGTGTAGATACAGCCGCCGATGAGTATTCCTTCCTCGTTCTTCCCTCGTTCTTCCCTCGTTCTTGAACCGCGTAGCATCATCGATCAGAGCATGAGGAGACATAACGTACGAACCTGCCCAAGCATCCACGAACTAGTGCGACACCATTGATTTGTACCTACCACGGCGCTTTTGCGACCGTGCCTCCGCAACGCAATAAGCCGCCTACAATACGCAGGACGCGGTGACGACCCTGAATCGTGCTTGGTTAGGTAAATCATGAGGAAGAAAACAAAGATTATCTCTGGTGAAAGTGTTCTAGTATATTCTTATTCTTTTTTGAAGACATGTCCTTGTTGAACAGTCAAAGCCTCTATGGTACCTGATAATAATGGGAAAATAGTACAAAAAGTAAATATGCAAAAACCTACAACGGCCAAAAGTAGGGCGGTGGTTACCTGGAACACGAACACATCAGCGTGTTGATTGAACCAGTGTTTTCCACCGGCATCCGTCTAGCCTGGTGGATGTGTCCTTACCCGGACTCCGCAACTTTACCCTTGACCCACGCCTCTAGGCCACCTTCCGCAATGATCTCCTGTACATTCGCTGGCAGCTCGCCGACCTGCTCGGTCCAGCTCTCTCCCGTCTCACCCTCCTGAACTTCAACGATGGAACGCTTCACATCCCACGTCAAAGTCCAGCCTGTGCGGCGCGTCAGCTGGCGCCCCTTGGTGTTACCAGCGGATGGCTGAGCGAAGCTAGCACGGAGACGTTCAACAAGTCGGGGAACTTCAAGGCCCATGAGTGCGTTGTTGATACTGTTTCGAGAGAAAATGTTGCCGAAACTGCCAGCGACGACCAGAGGAATCTGCTTAGCCAGAATTGCGGTTGCGGCCTGTTCTCTTGAGGATCCGCAACCGAAGTTGAAGCCAGCGACGAGGATATCACTTGGCTTGGCGATACCCTTGAACTCGGGATCGTAGTTCTGCATGCAAGCGGCGGCCATATCATCCTTCGAGACGTTGTCTTGGTAGGTCAATTTACCGGGGTAGATGCTATCAGTGTCGAGGTTGTCGGCATCGAGGAAGACGATCTCGCCGCTAATGCGTTCGGGGAAGCCTGGCAGAATCTCGGTGGCAGGTTTGGCCTCGTCTCCAGCGGACTCAACCCGATCAATCAGAGATTCCATCTGTTGTAGGAGGTTGGTGAGCTCATTCTCGGTGGTGGGTTCAAGACCGGTGCCGAATCCGTGTTCCACGCCGGACCAGTTCTCTGGCACTTGGTAGGCGCCGGGGCCAGAGATAACGCCGCTGAGAGCGCTAGCAGCCACGACCTCGGGACTTGCCAGGTATGCCAGCGCGTCTCTCGATCCCATGCGTCCCTTGAAGTTACGGTTGCTGGCACTGATACCAACCTCACCGGGCTCTAGAAGACCTGTTCCGAGGCCAATGCAAGGTCCGCATCCAGCAGGCAAGGGTTGGGCACCAGCATCGAGGAGAGCCTGCCAGTCGCCACTGAATTCGGCAGCCTCTTGTTCAGGCACGGAAGCAGCCGCGATGTAGAGTTTGACACCGTCGGCAATCTTGGGAGTCGTGCCGGGGTTGGCCTTCGCGGCGTCTTTGAAGACTTTAGCGGCTGCCGCAAGGTCGGAAGCACGCGAGTTAGTACAAGAGACGATATATGCGCGGTTGACTTTGATGTCCTGCTGGACAAGCTCGTTGAGTGGTGTTGCGATCTTTACTGAATTAGGACCGGAGACGTAAGGCGAGAGAGTAGAGAGATTGAGGTAGAGCTGCTTGGCGTACTGAGCATCAGGGTCGGCTGTGAGGGGGTTGGCGAACAACTCGTCAATTCTTTCGTGCGTGATACGCTTCCGGGTTGTCCGCTCATCAAGCATCGCAGCCTCGGTAGCCTTGTATCGCAGCCAGCGCTTCAGAGTTCGGTCAATTGGGAAGAGACCCGTGAGCGCACCCCACTCGGTCGTCATGTTGGCAATTGTCAAGCGGCTATCCACAAGCAGACTTTCCATGGTCTCTTCAGAGCCGGTAAACTCAATTGCATGGTTCAGCACGTCACTGTTGAAGAGACCACACAATGCGACAATCACATCCTTACCTGTCACGCCTACTGGTAGCGTTCCAGTGAACGTTACCCGCGCAACAGGGGGAATCTGCCACCAGGTCCGCGAGGTGGCCCAAATACTGGCAGCATCTGTTCGTACAACGGCAGTACCAAGGCAGCCAACTCCGCCATAGTGATTACTGTGGCTGTCCGAGGCTACCGCCATGGTACCTGGCCACGCATATCCTTCTTCTACCATAACCTGGTGTCCAATACCCCGGCCTGCAGGATAGAAATCGATACCATGCTGTCCAGCAAAAGTCTCGATCTGCTCGTATTTCTTAAGGTTTGCTGCGCTGGTGTTTTGGACGTCGTGGTCGAGGGTCATGACGATCTGCTCTGGGCGGTGAACCTTCGTAGCTCCCATAGACATGAACTTGAGAGCAACAGGCCACGAGTTGTCGTGGGTCATGCAGTACCCGGGTGCTAGACTGATGTAGTCGCCGCTGCGAACGAGCTTTCCTTCAGGGAGACCGACAGCATAGCGTTGTACGATCTTCTCCGTCAAGGTTTGCGGCGTGCGCCGCTCGGAGGGAGTCTCAGATAAAGGAATTGAGGCATTCTCTTGTTGTGAGTGGAAGCCTTCGATCTGAGCAGAGGCTGTCGTGCTCAGCGAGCGGGAAGAGAGGGATTTCGAGACCGATCGCAAGGGATGATGAATTGTCCTACTTGGGACGCCGAAGGACGGAGTCCACCGAGGCCGGACCTGGAGGAGTCAGATACAATTGGGTTATCCTGAGACGAAGCTGTACTCACCGGTCTGCACATTATGGCGGCCGGAGGCCTAGCCACGCGCTTCAACAACATCGAACACGGAGACATTGGTGAGTCACTAAGCAAACTTTTCCCAGTCCCCGACCTCGGGAGTTGACAATCTGTAGTATCACGTGATCTAGTGTTCCGGGGGTCAGCCTCTTGTGGCAAGGCAATTTCAAAGCAACCCCGGAATTTTCCATGTCACGTGATATACAAATTAATCCCCGACTTTTTCTGGAGAGACAGTAGCACTGCAATGGACAAATTGGGTTGTTTAAACTCATGACTCGAGATTCGCTCGACCGAACATTCACCGTGAGGATATTTAACTACCTTATCTATGTGGCAGGCCAGAGTGATCGGGACTCGCTCTATGATCTCAACTTGACCAGGGTCATGAGTGACGGAAATCAAGGTGTATAGCAATGTATGCTAGGGATGACAGATGTGTGTGACTCTAACTAATAAAATGACAAAAGTTCACTATTTGACAATCTGTGCGGACATCAATGACTAGCCATCGTGCCAACCCATATAATTTATGTATGTTGTACCGCCTATTTTACCGCCTTGCTCTTACCTGTGTACACCTTAGGGACCTGCATCCATGGATGATTCCTCGACTTCTTCCACTTCCCCTTTTATTCTTACAAAAATAGTCGGCTGCGTTTGCGGCCTTGTGATCTCTTTTTAGATAGTCTTTTTGAGATATCTTTTGGATATATATAAAGGTGCAGATCTAGGCACGCAATATATATTAGAGTTGTCACTTTAGGAAAAGATGAGGAAGTACACTGTACTCATCCCCCCTCTTTTTTTTTTGAATGAATATGAAAAGACTAGAGAGAAATGGAAAACTCACGTGTGGCAACCCGAGGAACAATATATATTTATATTGACTGTCAGATATGGAACAAAAATGAGTGATCTTCTTTTGTAGATCTGAATAGTCCCCGACTCAAGTATTTTCTAGAATGGCTACATTTATTTAAAACCTCACATTAAAAATCTACTGGCATGATACGCCCAAAAGAAGATAGCCCTGAGGTGAGTGTTATTCATACACGAGACACAGGTCGAACTGGTTGACCAATCAAATGTGATTAAAGTGTGTCTTGGCAAATGTACGCATCCAGCTAGTGTGACATGCAAATTCTCCCGATTAGATCTATATTACGTTTTTCAAAGTGTCTTTTAGGCAGAATAAATATGAACATTGGAATACTCCGGGGCCGTTACTCGTTAACTTGGTACTTATCAGGACCATTCCAAGGGTTCCAAGGTTATCTCCAAAGGTTACGTAACATATAAGATTGACGGAAGTCGGCATTCCCCCTGAGGTTTGGAAGCTGGAAAGGGCCAGCGAGCATATAAGATAAGGCTATTTGACTAAGACTGCCAAGTCTAGAAGATACAAATGTACATATGGATTAATCCGCACCTATGGAGTTTAGGGTAACTTGCAAAATCCGATAAACTGAGAGATTGCTTAAAATGTAGGCTTGGCTGAGGGGAACGTGCACGGTCAGACCTCGGACTTCCCCCAAGCCGACTGTAATATAACTAAGTTAGGAGGCAATAACCCGTGGACGTTCTAAGACTGTTTAGGTAGTATGATCCCCAGCCATGGAAGTCGAATCCAAAGATAAAAAACAGACCATCCACGGCTCGTATCCGGATGCGGGTTAAGTCGCAGCCCGTGCGGGGGCGATAAAATGTATTCCAAGCCAATCAAAATATCCAAAGAAAGAGAAGGTAACCAGAAGTAACCAAAGTAGCCAAAGTAACCAACTGAACTGCGTCATAATGCCTTGGTATGGCTTTTGTATGGCTTGGATGGCTTACATGGGGCTTGATGCGCTAATCTGGCTAATCCTGCCTCGAGGCAAATCTCTGCCTTTTTAAGTCCTCTGTTTTACTCCCACGTTTTTTTCCCGGACTTTCTTTATTAGACGCATTTGGCATCTTACATCTGATGTTTTTGATTGCATCCTCCTTTTCTACTTCTACACATATCTTTTGAAAGTTTCTCAAAGTCTCTCCGCTAGACTCCGTACTGAACGCCGGACTGGACGGACATCCCACCCTAGAGACCCCGGCATCTCCGACACTTGCTCTTGCCATTGCACCTTCAACATCCCAACATCCATAGCGACAATATCATTGCCCACGCGATCGAATCCCAAACCCTCGCAACATAGCCCGACATCCCACTTTTCTGTAGCAGATCCACCCCCGGATTTTCCGACGATCCACCCCAAAATTTGCAGAAAACCCATACCCATACCCCAGAATCTAAACGGATAAGCGACATCAGCCCATTCCCTTTCGACCGCGCCCTTACCCATACTGTATAAGCGACTAAACACGACAGACAGGAATGCAAACAAAATGGCTATCCTAAGCGACAAGGATAAAGAAACGAGTGGTAGTGTGCTGGAAACACTCGGGCTCAAGAATGAGGGTCCTCGTGATGTACAAGAAGGTGTGATGGCTGAAAATGCCGACAACCTTCAACGTCATCTGGGAAACCGTCAGATCCAGCTGATCGCCATTGGCGGTTCTATTGGAACGGCCCTTTTCGTGAGCATCGGCTCGGGTCTTTACCATGGTGGACCTGGCAGCTTGTTTATTGCCTTTACTGTACAATGTATCTTCCTGGCCATGGTGAATAACTGCCTCGCTGAAATGACCACTGCCTTCCCTGTTAGTGGTGGTTTCATTCGCTTGGCTGGAAAATGGGTCGACGACGCTCTTGGTTTCATGGTCGGCTGGAACTTTTTGTCCGTTCTCTTTTCGGCTTTGCCGAAACCCTACCCACTATCTTTGCTAACACTCCTTTTAGCTTTTATGAGGCCCTTTTGATTCCTTTTGAGATCTCAGCGTTCACGCTCGTCTTGTCTTTCTGGAGTGATAAGATTACTGAACCTGGTCCGGTTGCTGGCGTCTGCATTGGTGTCATCCTGGTCTATGGGTGAGAGCCTCTTCCGCCCATTTCGGGCCTTTTATGTGTACTTGAAGTTTTATCCAAATACTGATTCTCGCATAGCTGCCTTAATGTCTTGGCTGTCAAAGCCTATGGTGAAGCCGAATTCTGGTTGTCCGGTGGAAAGGTCATTCTGATCTTCTCCTTATTCTTTTTCACCTTCATCACCATGGTTGGTGGAAACCCAGCCCATGATGCCTATGGCTTCCGCCACTGGAATAATCCCGGCTCTTTCATGGAGTATCTGGATACCGGAGCCCTTGGTCGCTTTGAAGGCTTCCTTGGATCTCTTTGGTCAGCTTGCTTTGCCGTTGTCGGTCCAGAGTACATCTCCATGGTCGCAGCTGAAGCAAAGCGTCCCCGCATTTACATCAAGAACGCGTTCAAGACAGTCTATATTCGATTCGGTCTCTTCTTTATCGGCGGCGCCTTGGCCGTGGGTATCGTTTGTGCCGCTAATGATCCGCAGCTGGTGGCGGTTGTGACGGGTGGTTCTTCTGGTTCTGCCTCGGCATCGCCATATGTTATTGGCATGCGAAACTTGGGCATCTCGATTTTCCCTTCGATCATCAACGCGTGAGTGCCATCAAAACGAAACATAACTCGAACGAATTGAGGGCTGACCGTACTCTATTTAGTCTCTTGCTGACTTCGATTTTCTCTGCTGGCAATACCTACACTTACTGCGCTATCCGTACTCTGTACGGCTTGGCACTAGAAGGAAGAGCCCCAAGAGTTCTCACTTACACCACGCGCAACGGTGTACCGCTCTACTGCTTCGGAGTCGTGATGATCTTCCCTATGCTTTCCTTCTTGCAATGTTCCAGTAGCTCATCCATCGTCATTACGTGGTTTGCTAACCTCGTCACTGCCGGAGGTAAGAGATCCCGAATGAATTACCGTTGGACCCCATTACCGTACTGACAACATAACCCAGGTCTCATCAATTATATCGTCATCACTCTGACGTACATTTTCTTCCACCGCGCATGCAAAGCGCAGGGGCTTGACCGCAGATCTTTTTCCTATTTCGCACACCTGCAACCCTACTGCGCATACATTGCATTTGTTTGGATGATCGTCGTGGCTATCGTCTACGGCTACCCCGCATACAAGCCTTGGTCGGTGTCCACCTTCTGGTCGAATTACACTATGCAGATCGTCATCCCTCCTCTCTTCATCATCTGGAAAGTCATCAAGAAAACCAAGCTCGTCAAGGCCCATGAAGCCGACCTGGTCTGGGAACGACCGCTGATCGATGCGTACGAGGATAGCTTCCTTGATCCGCCTACTGGCTTCTGGAGAGAAATGTTGCAGATGGTCGGCATTGGGCGCACCAAGGGTGGCAATGATAAGCGATCGCATTCAGTGTCTCAACCTCGGGAGTCTGCTGAAGGGAATTCGGCATGAATGTAACTACGAGAAGTGTTTGATTATATCCACATGTATGTTTAGGGATCTAGCTACCGGAAAGGTATCACAAATGTGTCCTTACGGTACGACTTGAGCCATCTTGACGCAGGATTCTACTTCCTGTTGGAGATCTGTCAATATGATACCCCCCGATTTGTTCATCTCGCAGGTGTTTCTACGTAACTGGATTAGGATAGAGGATTCTCATCCTTTGCTTCATATTCCGGCTATAAAAGCTATGTGCAAATAGATGCAAACATCAAAGGTGCACAGGTGGACCTTATTTGACGTTGATTGATTGCAATTGTGAATCGCATACAATCCTATATACCTGTTGAGATGGGTGCCTGAAAAGTCTCAAATCCCAAAGCTAGCTAAGCTGAACAAATGAAGAAACATAAATTTACCCACTTGTGGTCATATTTGTCCATCTCGCCTTCAAGCCATGTGCCGCCATCTTCGGCTTGCGGTCCCTGGTAAACACACCCTTCTTATTACCATCCACGCGTCTGGTACCCAAAGTAGTCTGGAAGTCGGCAAAGTTCCAAACATGCTCACCAGCCATGGACTCGACACTGTCGAAAACCCGGTGATACATGGCGAGCATATCCTGCTGGAACTCTTCACTCCAAGGTAGACCAAGGGTGGAGTGAAGACCGGCAATGGTATCAGCGCCGTATTCGGTCATGATGATAGGCTTGTTGAACTTCTCTTCCCAGCCGCGCAGCTCCTTCTTAAGGGCAGGCTCTGCTTCCTGGAGGTCTCCTGTTTCCGAATACCAACCGAAGTACCGGTTGAGACAGCTGACATCAAACAGGTCGGAGATCTTATCCGATTCAAATGTTGCGTCACCGACATTGGCGAATGTAATAGGACGAGTGGGATCAAGCTCACGAGCCAGCTTGGCCAAAGGCTCGAAGTATTCGTGGGCTCCATCTTCTTGTGAGGCAGGCTCGTTGGCAATCGACCACATGACAACACTGGCGTGGTTCTTGTCCCGGCTGATGAGTTCACGAATGGCTTGCTTGTGGGCTTCCCGGGTGTTGTTGTTGATGTTCTCCTCAGAAAATGTCTTAGGGGCTTCTGTTCCGGAAACACCCAGCAGACCAATGTTCAGACCCACGGCGGGTGTTTCATCAATTACAACAATTCCCTGTCGGTCTGCGAAATCCATGACCTCTTCGGCGTAAGGGCAGTGTGAGGTGCGGAAAGAGTTGGCACCGATCCAGTCCATCAATTGGAAATCGTGAACCATGTAGGCTTGGTCGTGTCCTTTGCCGCGAACTGCGGTGTCTTCGTGTCTTCCGAATCCGGTAAAGTAGAAGGGCTTGCCGTTGATGAGGAACTTGGACCCCTCAACTTTGACAGTGCGCACACCGGTGGCTACGCTATAAGTGTCGACTACCTTGCCGCGGCCATCCACAATGTTGGCCTGGAATTGGTAAAGGTAGGCGGCACCAGGTTGCCACAGCTTGACCGAGTTGATCTTGACGGTACCCTCAGTTCCAGAGGCAGTTGCAACAACTGCTCCATCTTCATCGATCACAGAGATCTTGATCTTGTCAGTCGAGTTCTTGGCCACCTTGACATTGTAGTTGATGAGTCCAGTCTCGCCGTCAACATCAGGGACAACTGTGATGTCCTCGATATGTTGACGAGGCACAGAATACAACCAGATAGAGCGAGAAAGACCAGCATAGTTGTAAAAGTCGTGGTTGTAAGTCTGGATTTTCTTGCCGGTGTTTTCACCGATCTCGATCTTTCCAGGTGGGATTGTCTCGTGAGTAAGCTCGTTGTTGACACCAATTGTGAGGCGGAACTTCTCTCCAGCAGTGACAAACTCGGTGATATCGGCTTCAAAAGGGGTGTAACCACCAACATGCTCGGCGAGAAGTCGGTCGTTCACATAGATACGACCGTGATGAGTGGCAGATTCAGCTCGCACGAAATACTGCTCCTTAGACCAGCCCTTTGGGACAAAAACATCGCGCTGGTAGTAAACCCATCCAACATGATCGTGGATGTCCCGATCAACGAAGATATCGTTGTAAGACGCTGGGACCGGACATTCGAGAGCACCCCTGGGGAATGGCGCAGTCCAAGGTTGGGCCGTGTCGTTGGCACCAGAAGCGAGGGTGAACTTCCACAGACCGTCGAGGTTCACAAGATCGCGGGAAGAAGTTCGCTGGGGCTTTAGCTTGATCAAGGGCTGCTCAGCATGAGCTAAATCATTGCTGGGCTGATTGCTAGCTGTGGGGACAGCAAACGAAGAAGGAATAAGGGATAGTAACGACAATCCCGTGAGGAACCTCATGACGAAAAAAGATCGTAGATTATTGACTGATGCGTGCAGCAGTCACTCGTGATAAAAAGTCCGTTCTGAGTTGTTTGAGGCATGTTGGCTAACAAGTTTATCAGATTATATACTACTTCCTACACAGTGTACCGGCAATTGGGATATCAACTGCGTCCTCATCGGTGATTGACTAGCTTGGCATTTTGACATGTTGTAGGACATAGGGTCAAATATGACGCCAATTGTGTAGTGTGTTATGGATATCGATGGTGGAATTGGGGATGCTGCCAAGATGCCAAGTCCGGGGCCCCGAGTCATGCACTGCTTTTCGCGGGGGTGGGTCGGCAGTTCGGCATTTATGTGTGCGTGCACATACCCTATGCGTCGGCAATTATCCAACTTTTCTCCACGTCGGGTATTGATCGAATTAGATACTTATAGGTCGGACAATGCAGAGGTGGAGCGCTTAACCGTATTGTGGTGAAGCATAGTGAGTAAGCAACTTTAAGCAGTGGGCCAGCTTCCTAATTGACCTTTAGTGACCTTCTAAGGTTCCTAACTATACCTATAGGGTGTGATATAAGATTTGTTTAACTCCAAGCTCGGCAGTTAGACACAGCATCGGAATTACTTCCGCAGTAAAAGGGGACCTCCTACTTGATTACAAACAATGTTGGTGAGCTTTTATAGGTGTAATTAATAGTGCAATTGAGAAATGGATTCTCCGCTTCATCAACTCACCTAAATAGGGGTCTACAGGTATTGGATGAGTAGGACTCTTTGTATATTTCATAGTTCTATGCGCGTCCAGTATATATAATTTCATCTGATGAATCCTCGAGCTATCTATGCCATTCATGTCCCCTTCTTTGTCTTCCTTTGGCCCCGATCTCATATAACATCACAATAAAAATTGACATCAGACATTCCTTATGTATCCGTGCCTATCTAGCCCTACCCCACTTCGTGGGCTAGTGCTCAACACCCAACCCATGATATCCTTGATACACGTGGAGAACAACGGGAATAATTGAGTACCGCAATACTATAGTGGATGAGCCTATGCGGGAAGAAAAAAAAGATTTACTACTTGCTACTATCTGAAATAACAAAAGTGATTATGTCTACTTATCTAGAGTCTATGTACCTTGAGATTTCAGGAAAGACAATAGAAAAGGACATTGAAGTTTTGGAGTTATTTACAACTTCCCTTATACATCTTCTAGTCATGAACCTGTGGGAGGACAAACAGATTCCAGAACTCATCAAAGTCTAGAGTCTGCGTGGCACCGATGTCACCTCCCTTGGCTTCTCTTAGAGTTGTTCCGTTACCCAGATATGAGAACCGGTTGATCTTGGCTTCAGGCGTCCGATCCATTTTAAAGTCCTCCCAACGTGGGTTCTTTATAGCCTCCAAGAGGTGAAAGATCAATCCGCCGTAGATGGCGATAACAGGGCCATCGATAGTACCACGCTTGTACCAACTGCGGCAATCTCGAGTCCACACTGTACGTTCAAGGTACTTCTGGATATGCTGGTTGTACTCTTCGTTGACATCATCGTCGACCTCAAAGCTGCGAACACCTTCTGTTTGCATCTTTTCCATCCATTTGTAGATATAGGTGGCGGTTGCTTGGATTCCGAGAATCAGTGACCCGTTGGCCAGCGGTGAATTGGGTCCTACGAAGCCTAAAGACGTAAGTAAAAAGGCATCACGGTGGAATGGAGAAATACATACAGAAGTAGTTTGGGAATTCTGGCACACACATGCCCATGTATGCCTTTGGGATATCCTTTTCCCACTTCTCCGCCATGTTGACTCCGTTTCGGCCAACAAGTGGGAATGAAGGCTTGAATGAAGTGTCAAAGCCCGTGGCGCAGACGATAATGTCATATTCCAACTCAACGCCGCTTCGCGTAAGAATTCCTCGCTCGGTAATTTTTGAGACGTCGTCCCATCTTAACTCGACATTGTCCTGAATAATGGCCTCTAGGAAACCTGGTCCCGGTGTTTGGCGACGGCATCCAACTGGGAACGAGGGCACTAGAAGTTCAGCTGCGCGCTTTCCCTTCTCAGTGGTACCCAAACGGTCGGTCATGGACTTTCTGAAGAGATCTTGAGCTTGTTGCTGAAGGTCACAATCAGCTATCACCCGGTTGAAGTTTTCTGCTCTTCGGTTCATAATAGCAGCACGATAGTCACGAAGAGCTTTAGGATCCTTGAACAGCTCTAAAGTACTTTCTGCGAAATTATAATCCTTATCCATTTCTGGATCATTTGCTGTTGGCTCGTTGATACCAGGAGCTGGGCTGATCCATGTTTGACTTCGTACGTAGCAGTCCATATTTGCGACAACTAGAAAAAGTCAGTTATTGGATGGAATTTATGAACTATCCGTGTGAACGTACCACTGGCAAGTTTAGGGACAATCTGAATGCCTGACGATCCGATTCCGATACATGCAACACTCTTTCCGGTAAAGTCGTAGCTGGCATCCCAATGCGCCGAGTGCATGAGTCTTCCTTTAAAATCGTCTAGCCCCTCAATTGAAGGCCATTTCCAATTGCTGTATTGTCATTCTATCAGCATCCATATGAAAATAATCGGAACGGGTTTACATACTTCAACACACCGCTGGCATTAATGAAGACATCACATTCATCTTGGACCAGAATAGAACCATTCCTGATTTGGAGATCCCACTTTCCCTTTTCTTCATTCCAAATAGCAGACTCGACTGAATGCTGAAGGCGAATATACTTCTCAACCTCGTATTGTTTGGCCACATCTTTCATATAGGAGTGAATCTGCTCTGCTGTGGCGTAATAATTTGGCCACTCTGAGTTGGCAGCAAAGCTGTAGGCATAATTATGTGCTGGGATATCACACTGACATCCTGGGTATCTATTACCGATAAATTAGCTACCATGTAATCCTAAATCTAGCCCAAGGCTTATAAAGCCTACCGGTTTTCATACCAAGTTCCTCCCAAATCAGCATTTCGCTCATAAATAACGAATTCTGCATTGGCATCCTTCATGCGCTCATTGAAGACAATGCCCATCATAAGACCCGAGTACCCTGCGCCGAGACAGACGATGCGAAGGGACCGTCGGGTGCCGATGGGCTGTTCAACAATGGTATACTCGGGATTGAGGTGACGCTGATGAGCGTTGTTGGTGGTTTTGTTGCTAACCCCATGTTGAAGGCAGGGCCTTATCACTGAGGCCATTGGATATATAGTTGCTGCGGGTGGTGACATGGCTGAAAGTAGAGAGAATGCTGGATACTACCTCGTGTTCCAAGTAGCTTGAGACCCCGTATGGACGCAGTGACTATGGTTATATCAGACCTTCAGAGAAATATTGGTCTAAAAGCATGATGCTTGTGGTCATAAATAAACAATTGCAATATACACTGGAGGGGTATGTCCGAAACGGAGAAGGTGCGATAGTTTCGGAGGAAGACCCGGAACACTCTACCCCGTATTTCCATATTAGGATGACCGATATAGCCGAAGACATGGTGCGACATCGGCCCATGTACCCCGCGTTCACTTCTGGGGAATTCCGGGGAAGCGGCAAGAGGAAAAAACCTTCCAAGGTACCTTGGGAAATTGGAGTGGGAAACCTCACACCCAGAATCTGGAGGTTTGGGGCAATTGTTAGTGGTACAGGTCTACAGGTGTACAAGCGTCACATCTGTTTGGTCTTTCAAAGTGAAATTTCCCACAAGACACACGTGAGTCAGGCGCGCTTGCAATTTTCTGTCCTAGGGGCAGATTGCGGCCACTGCACCTTGGTCATCTTCGCGGCCGCTGAATGTGGTGGCAGAGATTGGTCCTAGCTGCACCATTCGTCAATACTATTTAAAGATCGACGAGAGACAAAGTTAGTACTGTGCTTCGTGGCGATCGCAAGAATGCAGGCTGTGGGGAGCTTCCTGAGGTCGAAAAGAGCTCAAGGTACGCACTAACACTCAAAAAACAAGGGGATATCCTAATCCCTAGCTGAGCTGCTTCTGTACCTATCTAGTCGGTTGACGGATATTTCGCTTCCATCTAATCTCTTTCGCGCTTGGATGGCCAAGGACTGTAGGCCCATTAGTGCCGCGCGGCCAATTCCACTTTGAGCGACATTATGTGCAATTCAAAGAATCATTCGGAATCTAATTTAGAACACGGCCGAGACAGCCGAGACAGCGACATCAAACAGAGAACATCGGCGTATCCAAAAGCGGATTGCCGTACGCACGTGTCGCGCTAGCCCCATTCAGTCAGGACTTCTCGGCTACCAGCCCTCCCTTGGTTGTACATACGATTGAACCCTTCGGCAACCAATTTGTTTCACTAATATCACGGCATCTAGTGGGGCAAAATGGGTCGCTCTTTCGGCACGCAACGTCCTCCTGGGCCCTGCGCAGGAAGGGACGGAGACGCAGCGGGTGTTCTCTCCCGAATTCCTGTTCTGGTATAAAGTTGGGGACTGTCAACAACGAAACACATCAACAAGCCCAATCTGTTGATCATATCAGTTGCCAAGAGAAGAGCTTCGGGAAATCAAAAGTCCAACTGGGATCGTCTAATCCTTCTTAACCCTCTATCGAAACCATTTCCCCATCGCTATGGCACCATCAATCGCAACTCCAAATCTACCAACGTCATACGTGGCGGACGGCAAGGTCCCTGCGGCTTTCACCGCTAAAGACGCGAAGGACCTTCCAGAGACCTTGCTTTCGCATTTCGCTGACCACATCAACGGCAAAGCCACTGATAATGGCCCGAAATCTACAGCTAACGACCGTCTCAAGGAACATACAGTCCCATTCTATGACCAATACGCCTTAAACCCTCGCAAACTCCGCATCATCACGATTGGTGCCGGTTTCTCTGGGTTAGTGCTTGCGCACAAATTTCAACATGCCTATCCGGAGCTTCAGGACTTTGTTGATCACACGATCTTCGAAGGCCGAAGTGATATTGGAGGAACATGGCTAGTCAATACTTACCCCGGCGTGCAATGTGATGTGCCCTCTCATATCTATGTAAGCCTTTGCGAGCCACTCTAGATTTGGATGCGCTGCTAACATACCCAGGCCTTCCCATTTGACCCTAACCCAGACTGGCCCCGCTTCTATTCCAGCGGACCTGCAATTCAAGAGTACATCAAAGCAACAGTGAAGAAGTGGAACCTTGATCGTGATGTGCAATTAGAGACTCAAGTTGTTGGTGCCTACTGGCAGGAAGATTCAGGAAAATGGAAGATTACTGTGAAGCACGGTGGTGTCGAACGTGATGAATACTGCGACATTTTGATCTCAGGTCAAGGTAACTTGGTGTAAGTACTAAACTGGTCGCATGTGAACTCGATGGAGAGCTCAACTCACATCTGGATAGGAGCCCTTCCTGGCCAAAAATTGTCGGACTTTCCGATTTCAAAGGCCATGTTACGCACTCTGCACGATGGGACCACGACTTCGATTACTCCAATAAGCGGATTGCTGTGATTGGCAATGGATCATCTGGCATCCAGATTGTACCTCAAATGACCAAACTGCCGGGTACAACGGTGCGCAACTTTATTCGTGGTCCAGCTTGGGTTTATTATCGTGTCTCACCCTCTAAGCATCTTGGGAGAGAAACTGAGGACACCAACCCGGAATTCCTTGAAGAAGAGAAAGAGCGCTTCCGCGATCCTGTCCAACATCGGGAATACCGCAAAGGAATTATCCACCGTACTAACAGGGCTTTCCGCTTGGTAAGCCCGCGGTCTTCAACCCCTCTTGCGTAATCAAAGCTAATATGGGACGCCATATAGTTCATGAAAGGAGAGCGCAACGAAACTACAGTGGCACTAGCATCGGCCCAAATGGCCGAGAAGCTCAACCACGATCCCGTGTTATGCGAACAGCTTATTCCTAAGTGGGAGATCGGTTGCCGTCGAGTGACCCCCGGCCCTGGCTATCTGGAGTCATTCTCAAAGCCTAATTGCAGTCTCACCTCGAGCCCAATTACGCAAATCACTGAGAAGGGTATTGTCACTGCTGACGGCCAGGAGTTTGAGTGCGATGTTTGTAAGTCATTCCTTGATTCACCTTTCCTTGATTCACCTTTCAAGTCATTTCTAACACAGTATCTTAGTGGTTTGTGCCACTGGCTTCGACGTATCTAAATGCCCACAATATCCTCTCGTAGGCCAGAACGGAGTCAACCTCGCCCAGAAGTGGAAGGATGAGCCAACCTCTTACATGTCAGTGGGAACGGATGACTTCCCCAACTATTTCACAATGGCTGGCCCCAACTGCCTCTGCGGCCACGGATCCCTCGTCGAGGCATTGAACTGGACAGGCGACTACTTTGTCAAAATTATCAAGAAGATCGCCACAGAGGACATCAAATATATGGTCCCGAAGGCCTCATCCGTGCATGCATTCGGCAAATACCAAGACGAAATCCACAAGACATTAGTGTGGTCCGGCTCCTGTCGCAGCTGGTACAAGAGAGGCACAGTGGACGGCCGAGTCACACATCTTTTCGCAGGAAGTGCTATCCTATTCCGCCGCCTGCTCGGCGAGATCCGCTCCGAACACTATGATATTGCTTACAACTCGGGAAATCCCTTCCGCTTCCTGGGCAACGGGTTCACTGAGTGGGAAATGAAGGAGGATGCTGATCTAGGATGGTACGTGCAAGTTGCAAAATCGGGCCCGGAGGCATATGCTGGAGATGATAGGAGCTGGATAGCGAAATAGATAATTACCCGAGGATGCGCTCCTACTATCGATAGTTGGTGATTTGAGTCATTTGTTCATTTTATATAGTCTGCAACTTCAATATATATTTCTTAAGGCTTATTTTGTAAAAAATTGTGTTTGCTCCTGAACAATGACCTTCAGCAGATCAAGCAATAGCCGAGAATGGAACCCTGAGCTCTCCCTTGCCCCTTTGCTCGTTAGTGCAGCCCGAGAACGAGCCAGATTGCGTTGATGACATCTACCCCACCGTACTCTTTGGTAAATACTACTTCATTTGATACCAGATGTCGAGAAATGTTGCATGCATGCGGTATAATACTACTTCGGTTTGCTGCCTTGCAGCCCTTGTTCATTTTTAGAGATATATTTGTATTATCTGAGCAACAAGGAGTAAGAAGGGATCGGAGAAAAGGGCTGATGATTAAGTATGGCGAGTTTTAAAATGAATATTGCGTAGCTTCACCGTAGAAAAATTTTGTATTCTCCTGAGCTCAAGACTAAACTACCTGCTGAACATCAAGTTACCTCAACTACCCCAACCTCGCCCATTATCGTTACTCTCACAATGAATACCGAAATTGCATATTCTGTGGGCCTGTCAATAAATGAAAGCAAATTTGAGACTGAGTTACTCACCATCTTATCAGTCAGGTCATCCTCATAGGCATGCTCAAAGCCTTCCACAGTCCCCGTCTTGTCGCGGCGGCGGTTCTCCATTGAGCAGAGGATGCGGTATACGAAAACCAAAAAACCAGCAATAACTGCGGTGATCACCACCACGATAAATCCCAGGTTATAATGAGGTGAATCTTCGTGTCGGAAGACCTGGGGTCCTGCGAAATTGCCTGGTGGGGATCAGTGGCAGCACTTTCGTGTTTGTGGGGATAACCTACCAAGGGAGTACCCAATGTACAAGCCTGACGAGGCGAGCGACCGTTTGGTATAACCCGCGTTGTTTGCAAGGAAGAGACCCATTGTCACTGCATACCCAGCGCCGGTGGTTGTGAGAATGTAGCAGGCAAAAAGAAGTCCTCCAAGTTCCGACCGAGGAAGAAGCCAAAGCATGAGAGCCGCAGCCATAGTAACCAATTGGCAGATAATGATGATATATGCACGCCAGCCAGGGAATTTGTAGGCCAGGTATGTTGTGATCAACATCATGGTACCGGCATAGAAGCCAGAAGGTATCATGAGAAGCAACGAGTTGAGTGGGTTAAAGCCAAAGCCATCAATAATGATAGCCTGGAAAGTCGAGATCGGCGCATTAGCGAACATACCACACAGCGCGTAGAGGAAAATAAGCCAGAACTTGATATCGGTCAAGAGCTCAACGGCCTGACCACCTTTGAAATGCGTGTTTCTGACTCCGGAGTTGTTCGTTCTCATGCGAGATACCGCAATAAACCGCTCTCTGTCATTGAAACCCTTGGCTCGGATGGGATCGGATGGGAGGACAAAATAAATCAACACACCACAGATGATGGTGAGGGCCCCAGCAAAAAAGTACATGTAGAACCAAGGGGAAAAACTTCCTCCCAGGTGGCCAAGTGCGTAGTTAACAAGAGGCGAAAAAATGGACACGTAACCTGTGCACGAGTACCAGGCACTAGAGGGGAGTCAGCTAGAGGCCAAGTCGGCGCGATCTTTATGGGAGACTATACCCCATTCTAAGGGATTGTTCATCCTTTTTGTACCATCCACCCTGAATCGCGGTGAGCTGAGGCTGTTTGATGGGAGTAGTGAAGGATACGTACGACGATCATCATGAAAATTGGACTGATACCAGCCTCAGTGAAACCGAGGAAGAATCTTTGCGCGTATAATCCCCGAAAGTTCGTACAAGCGGGCGTGAGAATCAAAGTAGTTCCCCATACTATGATGGCGAGAGAGGCAACGCGTTCAATAGGAAATCTTTGAGCCAAGAAAGTGACTGGATAAGCGCCTAAGATAAATCCAAGGTAGAAGATAGAAGAAGCCATGGAGAAGCGATTCCCACTGTTCAAATTTAGGTCATCTTTGATTCCAAAGAGAGCCTGCAAAAATTATCAGACCATGGAGTATTGCAGCCCAGGAAGTAGTCATACCGCTTGTCCAAGCAGGACCTTGTCAGCATAAAGAAAGGCATAGGTGATGCACAGGACAGGGAGTAGCTTCATGTCGATCTTTCTGCGCAGCTTGTTCTCCTCTTCTGGAGTCCAGGTTTGATCGCCATCATATACAGCGAGGACCTTGATTGCTTCATCACCGTGTGCGGTGTCGAGTCTTTTCAAGTCCCCCTCTTCGCCATTCGAGATATGGGAGACATCTTCCTTAATTGAGCTCATATTCAATGTCTGAATAGAATTAGATTGTGTGTTAGAAGGCCAATGCAAGCCTCGCGGTGATGGCTGGACACCCCTTTTATCTCCGGATATATCGTGCTGAGATCCTGGGGAAGAGATCCATACCGAGCTGCTCAGTGCCAATCTCTGGGCATGGTCTGCCTCCGTCTTGTGGGTAAAATTGTCATTATCATGGAGGAATAATAAGAAAGCCGACGGAAAATCCCTAGCAGGACTACCGATAGTATAGCCGGGATGTTTATTAAAACCTTGCGGCCGTCCATGCTGAGCAGGTGATGCTACGAGCGTTTAGTTCCGAAAATGCGGGGACATAAATGCGGGGAAACGCGTCCGGATACCAGCGCAAACCATGGGAGGCTGGAATCCTCGAAAAAAGGAGGAAATGGGAGCCGAAGATGTGGCGGGGAAGTTGCCATGCCGCATGGTTATCCAAATCCGGAAATACCGATATTGCCAGAACACGGCGGATACCGCCCGTAGCGGGGGAGTCCCACAATTCTTGGACTGCAGTCTGGTCTCATAAAGAAAAAGCATGGGTATCATATCCGCCTGCTGTTGAAAGAAGATCCTAACTTCAAATAAACATGGCAACTAGTCAGCCACACATCGAGCTGCCTGCTGGCCAGGAGGTGGTGACAGTGAAAATGATCGTCCCGGTCAATTTCGGACCAGCTATCATTAAACGGTTCATGGAGCCCCCTGTGCCTGGTGTGGAAACAAAGAAACCCGGGCCTGTTTTGACGTTCCTTTTGGAACATTCCTCAGGTCAAAGGCTGGTATTTGATCTTGGAATCCGCAAGGATTATCAAAACTATGCTCCCATTGTTGCAAACTATATACCGACAACGAATTACGACATACAAGTGTCAAAGAACGTGGTCGATATTCTGGAAGAGAACGGCATCCCTGCACAGAGCATTAATGCGGTTATCTGGAGGTATTTATTTCCAAACCATTGCAATATTTCAATAGAAAATTAACAATCACATCACAGTCATTGGCATTGGGACCACATAGGAGACCCTTCAAGTTTCCCCGGCAGCACTGATTTAATTGTTGGATCCGGATTCAAGGATGCCATGTTGCCTGGCTATCCTGCTAATCCTAAGTCTCCAATCCGGGAGAGTGATTATGCGTGAGTCCTGGTGCCTTCAGGATAAACTTGAATATCTTTCGGATCTTGAATTTAACTTGTTATAGTGGTCGATTGTTGCGCGAGATTCGATTTGACGGTCCCGATGCACTGCGTATTGGAAAATTCCCTGCAGTCGATTACTTTGGCGATGGGTCGTTCTACCTCTTAGACAGCCCAGGACATGCAATCGGGCATCTTTGTGGTCTAGCTCGAACGACTATAGATCCGCCTACCTTTGTCATGATGGGAGGAGATATCTGTCATTATGCGGGTATATTTCGGCCTTCAAAATATCTCCCTGTTCCCCCGGAAATTTCTCCACATCCGTATGATACACAAAGCAATGAACCATTCTGCCCCGGGAGTATTTTCGATGATTTGCAGCACACTAGAGGAAGGAATCTAACAGATACGGTGTACGAGATGTGTTTCGGTCATGATATTCCCCTCGCACAAAAGACCCGTGACAAATTGCAAGAGTTAGACTGCGACGAGAACATATTTGTTATTATTGCACATGATGCAAGTGTTAGGGACGGGGTGGACCACTTCCCATTGAGTCTCAACGCTTGGAAGGAGAAGGGATGGGCCCAGAACGTCAAGTGGGCTTGGTTTAGGGATCTGGAACCATTTTGGAAATCGAAAGGTCTGTGAAAGGCACTCTTCCCATTGTTTATATGAGAGTTATAAGGCCATAGCGATGCTAGAATGTTTTATTAGGCAGTGCCAGAATATAGACCGTTCTTTGGTCTGCGTATAGTTCGTGTTTCTAGCTAGAATGCCTGATTCTATTTTGATCTCATTTCCCCTTTGCCAAAACGTCTTGTACTCCGGCAAAGTTTGGTTTTCAACGAAACGTTCTACTCGGGATATGATGTGAATTAGACACTCAAGCAACAAGACCAGGAAAAATGGACTCAGAAGGGAAAACAAATCGATGGAGCAAGTTGTAGTGGAATTCACAAGAATTATGCGATAAACACGTCCTTCTGTAATATGTAGAGGAACACAACATTGTTCAATGTTTTATGGCTGCCATGTTACTCATGTAATAAGGCAATCCGCGCCTTGACTCTTCCGTCGCAAACACTCTTCAAGATATGGGGGAAATCCTTCAAGCCAGCAGTTTCAACCTGTGGCTGAATGATTCCCTTGGAGATCAAATCGAGAACTTCCTTGAGATCTCTCCATTGCCTGCCGTATGTGAAGATAATGGTCAACCTCTTCTGAATGCCAATCTTCATGTCGACAGTGTTCTCCTCGTCGAGAGTACCAACACACAAAAGTTTTCCTCCTCTACGAACTTTGAAATGGTCAGTGCACTGAAAATCTTTCATAGCGGAATACTTACTAATATTCTGTGCATCATGGAATGTCTGGTGTGTACCCACAAAATCCAGGGTGGTATCGATCTTGCCCTGCAACCCATTCTCGTGCACAAATTCTTGTACTGACTTTCCAGAGGGCACCAGATCTTGTCTAGGAACACCCCACCTTGCAGCCTCCTCCAACCGTTCTTGTCGAATATCAGAAACAATTACTCGAGCCCCAATATGGAGAAAAATCTGCAATGCATTAAACCCGAGACCTCCAAGGCCAAACAGAAAGACCGTCTCGTTTGATTTGACCTCCGCACGTCTCACAATTGCGTAATAACTGGTTTTGACAGCATCCGTTGCCACTGCTGCTACGGATGAAGGAATCCCTGCCAATTTTGTTAAGTCAAGCCACGCAACGCAATCATGGAAACAAACCTTCCGGAACACTAACTACTGCTCGAAGATCTAGCGCGGCATATGGTGCATAGAAACCATCCTGACCAATTCCGGCGTGGTGTGCTTGTTCGCATAGCTGAGCAAGATCTCGTGAGCACTCTGGGCAGCCATCCGAGCCACACCCAGGGACGGCGATAGTGGCAATTCGATCTCCCTATGAAAGTTGTTAGGTGTATTGCAAGTCTTCAAACACTGTTTGCAGAGCTTACTACGCTGAAACCGGCGTCTTTTACTTGGTTGCCAATCCGTACAATCTCGCCGCATCCTTCATGACCCTTGAAACGGGAAAATATGGTCAGCATGTCAAATTTCCCTCATCTGAAAAACGAGGCATGGTCAACATACTAGGGGGTATTGCTCTTGAAACCAAGGACGCTGCTTTGCGCTCGTGAGAAGTGAGTGGTCGCTATGGCACACTAGGAAGCAGATATTAGCAAGATTTTCTGAAGCTGCGATTCTGGAGCCCAACAACGTCGAAAACTCACCCCCAGAAGCTAGCAACTTCACTAAGAATCCTCCCTTGGGAGTTGCAGGGACTGGAACCTCTTCCCACACCAGCGTGGTTATTAGCAATGGCTACTCCTAGCAAATTTGCGGTTACTCACTGGTTCGGGATTTCCCCTATGTTTCCTCCACGCATACATGGAAGACGGGACATTAATGGATGCGGGAACTGTCATGGTGTGGATATCTATATTTTATAGCTCTGTAAGTATCAATATTACAGCCGCTTTATATGTTTATGCACTACACTCTCCCTAGTCAGTAGTATTTCCTAGGATATTCCGTTCGGCTGTGCGGTGCCGACATAGCCGGACATACCGAGTGGTCGTTTACCCTGTACCGAAGCATTATCCGGATTCTCGTACCCAGCTATACGAGCGTATTGAGCACTTTGAGATGTCGATTTACAGCGATATTCCATGCGAAACATTTTGGTGCATGATTCTTACTGACCAACGAAGAAATTGAACTGAATTTTATTCCAAGACTAGACAGATGTGCCACTATAGGAAAACCTAGCGCTCAAAACTTCCGCCCTTGACCCTGTCTCTGCTCCGAGTCAGCAGTGAAATGCGACTCAATCTTTGTAAATCCTCACTTTATAATCATCTAGCCATTTATCCTCGATAATGACCAATTGCGATGCTTGCTTCTTCGCGAAGTACTCGTCCTTGGGGTCGGAAAAGTCTTCCTTATTTACGTCCACGAATCCCTCTTTGGCAATAGACCTTGGTGTAATCATGAGGGAGCGTCCTTGCAGTGTGATGTTAGCCGTGATATGATCATAATGTCTTTTGCAAAGACAAGGTACAAAGCGGAGGAGTGTACGTTGACATACCGTTGATAGATTTATCGCAGGCGATCCGCATCATTGCACCGGCGCAATCGGCCTGTTCGCCAAACTCGACACCCCGTTCAATCAGCCAGTTTTCGTACTCCTTAGTCCGAATAGCGCTTTTGATCCAGCATGGCGCCACATAGTTGATTCGGATCCCTTGTTCCCAGCTGCTTCGACGCACGGTCTTCATGAAGCCGCGAAGGCCATACTTGGTCGCTGTGTATTCCCAGTTTCCCTAATGTGGTGGTTAGTAGTGAATTTCTATGCATAAATGACAACCAATTCAAGGAAGTCTCTGGCGGCATATTTACCGGTGAATCAATGTATGCGACCATGCTTCCAGTCATGATGAAGCATCGGTCTCGGTCCTCAGTATCAGGTTGTTTCCTGAAATAATGAACTGCAAGTTTCCATGTATAGAATGTCCCGTCCATGTTGACGCGGACAATATTGAGATTTGGCTTGGTGGGTGCGCCATTTGGGTCTGTAGACTGTTAGTATGTTGGATTATACACAAGCAAGCTTCGAGTATGTTGAACTTTCAGTTGGAAGTTCGAGATAGGCTTACCATCGAGGTTCCAGAGACTGTCACCCGAGGCGCGTGAAATTCCCGCATTGGCAATGACAATATCAACGCTGTTATAGGGACTCTTAGCCTTAGCCGTCTCGAATAGTGTGATCAAACTATCCCAGTCTGTAATGTCGCACTTGACAAACGCGGCCGTTTCGCTTTTCGCGTTCAATTCCTTGGCAAGATCGTCTCCTCTTGGGTGAAGGTCGCCAAAGGTGACGAAGGCGCCGGCCGCAGTGAAGGCGCGCACCATGGCCTCGCCCATTCCGTTTGCGCCTCCGGTAACGATGACAGATTTTCCTTCGACATTGGTTAGATCAGGAACCACGGTGTGGTCTATTGGACCGTTGTAGGTGTATTTGGGAAGAGGCATTGTCAACTAAATTGTAGGTGTATAGTGTATAATCGCAAGTGTTGGTTGATTCTCGAATCATCGCGTGGACTGCAGCCCTTAGTTATGCCAATTATAGCTCCAGACTCTCGCACTGTAACTATCCGAGGTAATATTTCATTTCTATGGCAAGCCGGCAGAAGATACCCCGCGTTCGTCCCAAGAAGGATTGCTGCCGAGATCGTTGCCAAGCCGGTAACCTAAAAAGGGACAACCGAACATAACCGGGGTTGTTGAATAACAAAGTTAGTCGGCGATGCGAATCATATTGACGAAACCTCCGAGGTGAGGACAAGGAAAGTAAACAGGGACCTTGAAATCACATTTAGCTGTGAACGTGTTCTTCCTAGTAATAATCATCAGGTGTCAAAAGTGGAGCCTAGTTGAGGTCCACGATTTTTTGCCTACCAGCGTATCTAATTGTCGACTGGACTTCATATCTCGACTTGAGCCAGGCACGACGCTCTCATATAAAAGATATTTAATTGTCGAGAGACCACTTTCATAATATGTTGGGGATGACCTATTAAATCACCAACTTGCAGCCCAACCACCATTAAAAGGGGTGGACTCCCTAGTCTGCACCCCTTGGAAGGTCGTGTTCGTATCTGCTGACTTCAGTGTTTCAGAGACCGACTATTTAAGTACAGGATATCGGAAGCCGATACTTTATTGGTTGCCGCTTAGTGAGAAAAGGGTGAGCTCCGACTTGGCGTCGCGCGACTCGGAATGAACCAGTTATGCTGTGAGCTGCTTAAGATCAGCAGTGTCCAACAACTGGGATAATGCACCATGCATAGCATGAGTTTCAGTCCCCACATCGAAGGCCACGAGGTCGCAAACTTCAAGCTCGTGGACTGACGCGGGTGGATCCACACGGGATGCCAGAAATTTGAGATTCAGTCAAGTCTAATGATTGAGTCTAGAGCACCAAGATGATGGTATGTGTCATGAAAGTGGGAACAGGACCTCGGTATGTTGCACAACCTTTCGTCCGCCAAAAAAAAAAAAGATGAAGCGGGAAGGAATCAAGGTTTTGATCGGCAAAGGCCAGGCTGGATGCGGTTAGAGCTGGGTTCCCGAAATCGCGGAAGTCCGTCCGCGAACCACACAGGGACCAAGTTTGGTCACAAGTGGGGCGGTACCTACATTAGCGGGAGACTAGCGTTATTACTCAGGTATGAATTAGGCGAGCCTTGAGAAAAAAAAAAACAGAATTTGATACCATTCTATGACAATTCATTACATTATGGCCACCCGGGCCCTCATTACAGAATTCCTTCATTACCGCCACACATTACCACCACTCATTATACCCGTTCACACTATGTGTTAAGCTCACTACTCCGGTTGGGAAGCCGATCCTGAAGCAGCTCGACCAAACAAAGAGCATTTTCCAAACCTAATTCTTACGATGAGTTCGAGTTGTCCAGGCAGCTGAAGGAGGAGCCTAATAAAAAGAGTCAGTCGTAAGTTCCGCAATGTTCCGGGGATCCCAAAACTTACCAATCATTCCCGTTGCGTAGGCATCAATGATCTGAATGATAACACCGTAGGTCGCACCAACAAGGAAGAAAATTCCAAGCAGTACCATTCCCCAATGTAGCAGGTAGATCACCTTCTGCATAAGTGTACCCTTCCGGTAGTGACTGTTGCTGTGAAGCCACAAGAAACCTGGAAGGCACATGGCCAGAGGGGCGAAGCAAACGGACCCAATCAGGGCAACCAGATAGTTGAAGATAGGGATAGTCTCGCTGAGGATAAAGGAAATAGCACCGAGCCCAACCGTGCAGCTCATCCAAGTAACCCAATGAACGACAGTATTGGCTTGCAAATGACGCGTGTTACCCAGGATACGCACAAATATGTATTTGGCGGCAATCTAAATAGCAAGATTAGTTCTGGGAGCCTGATTTGCGAGGGATTTACTCACATGCAAGTAGATCGTGGCGCTTACGACCAGTCCTAGTAGTGCAACACCGTAAGATACCATCTTGACCGTCTGTCCGGCGCTCTGTACATAACAAGGATTAGCTAATTGCATGCGAAACCGGCTTCAACTACAGGATACATACACCTAAAGACGGACTGGCCACCCATTGTCCGCACCAACGATAGACAACCAAGCTGAAAGCAAGATATGACGCATTAACAACAATCATGCACAGGTATAACGCCTTCTTGTAGTCCTTTGGGTTGCGCATCTCCGACATCACCGGAATGAAGGCGCTGGTACCAGCTGTCGAGACGAAGATAGTGCTGGAAGCAACCATGCCAGCTGCAAATCCGGGGTTGTTGATAGCCGCGTATCCGAGCTCGTAGGGGCCCTCCTGGGGCGCGGCGGCCGGTCGGTCGCGAGTTGTAACTCCGATGACGACGATCAAAACTGCGGCATAGATCGAGATGAATCCTGCATATGTGAGCCAGCCCACATGCTGGAGTTTCCGTACTGAAGCTGTCGCGATGATCACGACCGCTCCGATCAAAGACCACCAGACAGTGCACGCAGAGTGGTGCGAGAGGGCGTTAAGGGCCGTCGAAACACCAATGATACCACTACCTGTGACAAGAACGTAGCCGATGAGGAACAGTATACCGGTAAGCTCCTTCGCGAAGAAACCGCCAGCAACTTCCGCCATATCGGCGATAGAGTGGCAGTGAGGATGCTTCTTGCGAAAGTTGCCCAGAATCACGAAAGAGTAAGTGTTGAACGCGCCCCATGCGACGATACTGAGCGAGCCACCCACCGCACCGAGGGAGTACAGCGAAGCTGGCAGTGACAGGACGCCCGTCGCGAAGAGGACCTTCACGAAGATAATGCACGCCTTGAACCAGCCAACACCGCGGAAGCTGACGCCATCCTCAGTCTTCTTGAATACCTCGTGCTCCTCAGTGGAGTCCCTAGGGCTTCCCAGCTCTGTGTCACCAACGCTTGCCTTCTCGTTGATGATCATGATGGATTATTGAGTTTGGCTCGAGAATTGTAGCCGCTGGGGAAAGTAGGAATTAAAAAGGAAAAGCCCGGGGGGAGGAAAAAACTTTCCTACAAAGGTATTGTTCTCTTTTTCTCGGAGACCTCCCATGGCGGTAATTTACTGTGGGCCATGCAGTGCAAGCGTTGATAACTTGCCACTAGTCGGGATACACTAGTATTCCGCAGCTGCGCTTAGTTGCAGCTAGTCTACTCCATAATGGCGATAGCCACGAAAATTTCCTGCATGGCTAGTGTCATATCACTCGGAACCATCTTCTTCCTCTATGTTGTAGGTTTGTGATAACAGTTTCTTTCTTCAAAATTTGGAAAAAGAAAAGAAAAAAGTCAAGTTTGCTGCCATATCGCTGTTTTTGTAATCTATATCAGCGACCCGCAGCACATAAGAAGCGGCGTGGGGCTAAATGTAACCACAAATGATCGGCTTTGGTTCTGGAACCCAGCCAGAGCTTGGCTACTGAGTACTCCGTACAATATAGTTCCAAGTATACAAGGATTGCAATAAATTGCTTTTGATATGGAACAAGCAAATGGGAAAAGAGTAGGGACAGAAGGAAAAGATGACTACCTGCTGTGGGTGGGTCCCACCACGTGTGCTGATCGTGGCCGAAGGCATGACAACTATCGAAGGATAAAATTATTATTACTCCGTACGGGTTATATATTTGTTCGATATGTAACACTATTGGTGGGTCAATCCATTTTCCGTATACGAATGTTCTGGATGTAGTTCATTGTGAGCTTTAGTAAAAGAAGAGCAGGAAAAGGGAGGGAAAAGAGTGAGTTCCAGGTGTCCCTCGATCTACATAAGCCACTTTTCTCTACATATTGGTGGGATAGGCATCCGTTCGCATACAATATTGCTCTCTAGCCATGAAGAATATATTGGGGAAACTCACTGCGAAAGGAATCCCTCCTTACCAGAACGGCTATGTCTACTACGTCATATTTCTGTTCCTCAGTGATAGTAGCATCAATAGCCGCCTGCAAAGGCCATCTATTACGCAGCAGTATAATTGATATGCGACAAGTCCCCCTTGGGTAGTATTTATGCATGGCACCTGTACCCCTGCGTAATTAAACTAGATATAACTTGCGCTAGAAACTATGAACGCAACGCGCACAAATAAAAAATAAGTTGATGACACAAGCATAAATATTCTCTATGGATATATGAGACATAGACTAACAAGGTTATGTATTACATTAAGATAAAAAAATCTAGGTTGGTTTGGTATTCTAGGTTTGCGCGGATATAATTCAAATATAGGAGAAGAAAGGCTCAACAAAGAATCGAAAACTGGACTCGATGGGGACATTGACAGACGCCAAGCAACAAAAAAGAACAACAGAGGGATCAAAGGTGAGGAGCGAGCTCTAATACAAGTGACAGTCCGACAAAGAGATGTCACGTTTGTCAGTCTCTCAAGGCACTCCAGCTGCTGGTGGTGGGAATGCCATTTTCCCTCCCACCGGAGCTAACCAACCACCCTGTACGGGGACAAATGTTCCTGGTGGCATGGTATTGCGTACTGTTGCGGGATGATGTCCCGGGTTGACAGCGAGGTCCAGGTTTGGGAGGGGAAGTTCGTCCCTCGTGGTCGAGGCATATAAACGACGGGTGCGATCAGGTACGCTTGCCACGAATAACAAATCTTTTATCAATGGGCCGTCTAGTCGGGGGACGCCATCGGGTGACCAATTTCCTGGAAAGAGGTGGCACAAGCTTCTAGTCCAGGGGGTCATTCTTGTACGATTCCCATCAAGGATCGTAGCTTCTACTTCAATCATTTGCATGGTTATGTTGCCATTAGCAGTACTAGAAGTTATCATGGAGACAACCGGTACTCTTGGCCCCACAGCCGTCCCAAAAGGACCAAGAAGAATTTTGAGATCTCCTTGATAGATGGTCATCGTACTGCACCCAGTATCGTTGATAAAGTCCAACTCTGCAAACCACGCTAGTCCTGGAATGCGGAGTGCTAATGTCAGCTAGAAGAAAAGGTTAGAGAGACTTGGAAGGGGATTGAGTCATGAGTGTGGAGATCTTACGCCAGTCAGTCTTGGAGTTTGTGGATACGGAAGCAATGCGACCACTGAATAGGAGCTCTCATTTTCAGGACCGCAGATCTGATAATCTCTATTAGCGTGTCACTTTGAAAATGTTGAGGATGTCCATTACCCCTTCCGTCCAAAATCCTTTGTGGCCCTCGTGGTGGGAATTAATCGCTTCAAATTCATCCCAGTCAAACGGTCTTGGTTGGGAAATCTGGACTCCCTTCGACCAATATGTAACAAGACCGTTATTCCAGTCAAGCTCGCCCGACTTATAAGCTTCCAAGAGAGCCTCAATGTTTGGGAGCTGCTCGCATTCATCCGCAGTACTCGTCAGGTCTGTCTTCATAGCCTCCAATGCATGCACCCGTTGAATGGTATCCCAGCTGAGCTCTTCAGATCCCGGGAACCTCATCTGCCTACAGTATACCAAGGTGAAAATTTGTGCAGCTGCAATCTGAATATAGTTGACTTACTCCTTTTTGTTCTTTGCAGCTGTATATTCCTCCAACCTTTGCGCAAAAACATGAGGCATTATGTTTTCAGCAATTCTCTCGTGGCATCTTTCAATTTGGCTGTCGATATCGCTATGAAATTTCAATTAGCTTGTTGTTTGTATGGAGATTTGGATTCAATGACGTGTTACTTGGTTTCAAGATCGTCTTCATTCATATGCCAGCCGGGAGGAAGTTGAGCTGGGTCGGTAAAGGGGTCGTTTCCTGTCCATTTGGCCCAGGGTCTGCTTTTTCTTGGCTTCGGTCGTGATTTAGGTGGCGCCCAACTGTCAACGTAGGATTTGTCAAGGTCTAAATCTTCTATCCTGAGCTCTATGCGTGGGGTTGGATCTTGTGGTGAGCCCCTAGGACGGTGGGGCGGTAGTTGCTGAACGCGAGTACTACGTCGAAAGTTGTATCGCTCCGACATGTTGAAGACAATATGTCTTGGAAAGTTGAGTCTTGCAAACCGAAAATGCCTCGACATGAACGCACAAGCGAGTCGGGGGATACAAATACATGAAGTATCAGAACTAAGTAAGTATGGAAATAAAAAAGATTGCAGACAACGAGAGAGACATAAACTTGACATCGAGTGGATTCGGGTTCAAAGGCTCAAAGACACAGTACAGTGTAGCTATGACAAAGAATATATCCTTGGAAGGGCTGTAAGCCACGAAACTCGGCTTTTTACAACTATATATTTTTTACACTCTTACCGCTAGTTTTCTTTGTTAGAAAGAAACTAGAATGAATGTCAAGAAGTTTTGATCATTAGCTGGAAGATTCTCTCCTTACATCAAATAACAAAAGAATCTGGGAGTTGACGTTGGACCAGACAAAGAAAAGTTGAGAAAGATATATTTGTATCAACCGAGGAATTAAAGGATTTATTGACTATCGTTCTACTTTTTAGTAACCAGAGAGCTAACTATGTTGAAATTGGAAGTTCGTATGATTCTGGTAGCCAAATTTTGATTTGAAATATTGAATCGACTGGGAATTTACATAGTTTCTTTGTTGTAAAATCGAGGGAATGGAAATAACCCGTGACCTCACTTTTAGTCCTTCCCAAGATCGACCTCTCAATGCAATTCCAAAATTTCTAGTACTTTAGGTGCCTCTTTTTTAGCATCGTCTCGCTTCGGTCTCCAAAGCCGACCAAATTCCATGTCATTCTCCATGAACACAGAGATTACCCAGTTGTATAATACTTCCGCCTTACACTTGATTAGACTTCCGCACCGGCCCATAAAGCCCAAAGCCCAACCCGACCCAACCCGCAAATGGGTTAGGTTTTGGGCCTAGCCTCGGGCCCACCGATGGGCTTTGGGCCCCAAACAGTGCAAATATGCCGAGAATTCAGAAGTTGATCCCCCGTTTAGGGATTTTAAAATTACCCTTCGTTTTACCCCCGTTTCTAAGCCTTATTCTAAAGGTAATATTTTATTAGTTTAGATCATTTAGAATCAATTACTAGTTATCTCTCTAAAACACGTTTAAAAATGCGAGAAAGCGCGTTGTTTAGATAATTTATAAATTATAGAAGGTCACTCAGAAAGTGGTAGTACTCCTATCTAGATCCTAGACATATATCGAGTATTAAATATACTTTCTCGTAGTATCTTGACCTCTTCTGATCGGATATTGTTTAACTTTGAAATGTATACTTATGTAGCTATAACAATTCTAAATTCTAAAATTTTAAACTCTATATAATAAGTAGAAGGTTAGAATATAGCGATTACAAGATGCTTAGTAAACCCCCCTGAATAGGCTTTCATGTGGGCTGTGGGCTGGGTCAGGTTTCGAAGGTAGGGCCCATTTATGGGCTATACGGAAGTCTACACTTGATCTAGATAAGCGAGAAAATATCAGAATTTGAGGCCGCTTGTTAGAGAAGTCTAGCAGTCAATTTCGTAGAGTAAAGGAATACAAATCCACTAAAGTAGTCGGTAGCCTACTGGATCCGATGATATCAGTCATTACACCAACCTTTACTGTCCGGGATGTGTGCCTGGTTCCCTTCGATCTCTTCTCGTGGGCCTTGTTCAAGGGTCAGTGCCGACGTAATAACAACAGACAAAATAACACTCCAACTTCGATCGACTGCGACAAATATTGATACTTCGGCTACTTGACCTACTTTGAAATGTACATGCCAAAACATCAGAGTGATTATTGCTCCGCAACCCCTCAGTTCAAGCAAAAAAGCTTCCGCCTAAATTTCATCTTGCGGTCTCTCGTTTCGTAATTTCCTTCGAAGAAACGAAATAGTTATAAAACTCAGGTTACCAAGTTACAAGGCGAGCTTGCATTATCACACGCCACTTTCCGTGCTTTGCCTGCTTTGCTGAACAATTATGCAAATAATGATGAAACTACTATCGAGCTTTTATTCTCCAGTTATATGCCACGTCTATCATTACTATTGCGGACCCTAATATGCGTATATTGTGGGCGTATAGTCCACGGCAGCCTTTTGCGGGGTTGTCACTTGCATCATATCACGCCATATCAACATTATCAATCCACCCGAGGCCGCCTGGGCACTCTATAACTTCTTTAACCATTGGCAAGCACATGATGTTATTGTTACAGATAGCACGTCAGGTTTAATCAATACTTCGTCTCATCTGGACATGATGTTCAATTAGTCATTCGATAGAGCGGGTATTACGGCATTAATGTTGATGTGCTTTATGTACCTGATCCTTTGCTCGTTACTGGCGTGTACTCCGTATGACCGACACGAATGTCTTCATACGTGATTCTACGACAAAATGACGCCAAGCATAGCAAAATCATGAATAATGTATATTTAAACAGAGACTCCTCACAAATTACAAGTGATATTTTCCCAAACTTGATAACGACAAAGTTTACCGATATATTAGTAAAACATGGCGCCATCTATTGCCCAAGCTCCCACTGCGGAAGTCGTTGTTCCTGTAAAGGCTGCCCCTGAAGCAGCTGAGACCAAAGCTAGAGTGAGAAGAATCATTGATGAGGAAGGGGGAAACACCACTGCCAGTGTAGGTCACGGCTAGAACTTTGACTTTCTCCACATATGGCTTGACTTAACAATGATGCAGTATCCAAACTACCTGCCTGTATTTGACTATGGCGAAAAATACCCGCCTCTTGAACCTTTCACTCACGTTGAGCACGGAAAAGATGCCGATCCCTCCTTTAAAGACTTGCTCATCGAGGGCTCTAAGATCCAAAAATTGACTCCAACCACCGGCTCCGAGGTTACAGGCGTTCAGCTAAGCAAGCTCAGTGCTGCCGGAAAAGATCAGCTCGCTCTGCTTGTCGCGCAACGCAAAGTCGTCGCCTTCAGAGACCAGGATCTCGCCGATCTGCCAATTCAAGAAGCCCTTGATTTCGGAGGCTACTTTGGCCGCCATCATATTCACCCGACCAGCGGAGCTCCGGAGGGATATCCTGAGATTCATCTCGTTCATCGGAACAACAATGCGTGGGAACTTGACGAATATCTCAATACAAAGAACAGCAGTGTCGCATGGCACTCCGATGTCACATATGAGCAGCAGCCACCGGGAACCACGTTCTTATATGTTCTTGACAGCCCTGAAGTGGGTGGGGACACTGCTTTCGTCAACCAAGTTGAGGCTTATAACCGACTTTCGCCAGCGCTCAAGGAGCGTCTTCACGGGTTGAAAGCTGTGCACTCCGGGTTTGAACAGGCCGAGTTTAGTCTGAAGCGTGGCGGCGTGGATAGACGAGAGCCGGTGAAGAACGAGCACCCTCTTGTTCGAACCCACCCGGTGACTGGAGAGAAAGCGCTTTTCATTAATGGTGGATGTAAGTATATTCCTGCATTTTTTGAAAAACGAAGATTCAATACTTATACCAAGAATAGTTACTCGCAGTATTGTTGGACTCAAAAAGGAGGAGAGCGATGCGCTTCTAGGTTTCCTACTGGCTCATGTGGGTCGCGGCATTGACTTTCAAGCTCGTATTCGATGGGCCCCAAAGACTGTTGTGGTCTGGGATGTGAGTTAAATCTTGAATTGTTGATCAAGGGCTCAAAAGACTAATGTTTGTGCAACATAGAACCGTGTCACGGCTCATTCTGCGATTGTTGACTGGACGACTGGTGAGCGTCGCCACTTGGCGCGCATTACTCCACAGGCTGAGCGCCCTTATGAGACACCATACGTTCCAGAGGAGGGTGAATCTAAGGCTTGAGCTTCTTTGAATGGAAAGTCAAATACTTCGAGTGAACAAAGGGGTTATATAATGATACTTGCTTCGGCTTGGCAAGCCCAACACATTCAAAAAATTGGACAAAATGCCAGTCATTCAGAAATTCTGGTCTAATTTGGGATTGTAGGATCTCTGAAGAAAGGCGCATTGGAACCCCTCGCTGACGACATATTGTGATATCAATGCATGGTGCTAAGATTGCCGCAGACAACCTCATTTGAGCCATTATGGTGCAATTTCCGACAAACCTCACGGACTCACATATTAAGTTCTTGTCAAATCACTTATCTCTGCTATTCTACAATGCAAACTTCTTTTTTTCATAAATGCCACGTAGGTAAACTCGTTGCTTTCATAAAGTCGTGATGTTCTAATCGTCTTATAAACCTCTGTGCCTAATCTGCATGTTTACCCGCCTTCTTATCTTCAACTCAATGTTTATTCCATTAACACACTGGACATGTCTAATGATATTGGGTTTATCCAAATTCTCCGGCATATTTACAGCTCTAACGAGCAAACCGGAAGTCAAGTCTGCACAAGATGATCAGTATGTAAAATATAGGCACTGGTAGTATCTACACCCTATGATGCTAACGTACCTCTTGTTTGTCAATACGGGGTTTTCACGCAAGTAATACTCTCTTTGCTCGCTTGTCATAGCATTCCACTTTGCAGAGTTTTTTCTGTATACAAGTTAGCAAGTATGATCCATATTCATATTTGCGAGTTTGATTACATACTTATTCCACCAATCGTAGTAGAACTTGGCGGCAATAAAAAGGAACCCACTGACGACAGCCAGTGCAATAAGAACTTTGTTTCCCTTCCTGTAGTATGGCGCATCTTTTGCTTGGTACACCTGTTCATAATTGTTAGTAAAGAGTGGGTTTATTTCTAGGTCATTGGCAGCAGAAAATGCGAGGACAAGAACTCACATTAGCACCAGCAATGCCGCTGAGTTGTACAGACATGTTATACAATGCAGAAGCAACAGTGCGAGTCCGCACAGATCCGGCATTTCGTGAAGTCAACGCGACCACAACAGGATGAATACTCGGCCCACCAACAAGGAGCGTAAGTATCGCCCAACGGGGCCAGGGCATGCTTCTCTCGGGAAGTAACTCTAGTGCAATAAGCAGGACTAGATTCCATACTTCCACCCCCACGCCCCATAGCAGGCGCTGGTTTGTACGCTCTGCAACCCAGGTAATAGCTATCATGGTAATAATCGCAATGACAGCTGATGGAATCACCAACAAATTGGTCTGGAATGTTGTGAACCCCTGGGATCGTAGTTGCAGGGTGAGATAACCTGCCGCCGGAGTGGTGGGTATCATCCAAACTAAACCAAGAGCATAAATCGGCCACATATGGTAATCCTTGAGTGACTCCCAAAACCGTCGTGGGGTGACGGCTTGTCGGTTGTGCATACTGCCCTTGCTAGGATCGTCCCGAATAACGCGGTTCACGATGATCTTCTCTTCATGCTCCGTGAACCATCCGTCCTTTCCGCGTAATCCTCCCTTGGTTTGCACCGGGGATGCTGGCATCCAGAAATACGCGATGATTCCAATGACACCGGTTATGAGACCTTCGTACGCAAATAGATATCTCCACGCACCACTGCCGCTGGCATTAGTGATGTGTAGGAAGCCAAAGGCTAGGAATGAACCAATAATTCCAGCAATCGTGTAAGAAATCCAGAAACAGGTCAGTCTTCTCGGCAGCTCGTTAGATTTGTAGAAGAAAGACAAGAAAAGAATGGTATCAGGAATACTGTAAACCGCGATCAGTCCCATCTAAAGATCTTTTTGGAATAAGAATACTCACAAGCCGCCTTCTAAGAATCCCAGCAGAGCACGACAGGCCAAATATGAGCCACGCCCTGTCAAAAAGGCCTGACAAGCCGCGATTAAACTCCAAGCAACAATTTGAATAGGAATCCAACGGTCTGGGCCGACTCTCTTGGAGAGTAACTGCGAAGGCATCTCAGCTAGCAAGAAGCAGACCAGAAAGATTGTCTGACCCAAGTTGTAATCATTGCTCGTCATCTTGAGATCTTTCAGAAGGGTACTTGCTAGTGCCTGGCCGATGTTTCCTCGGTCCAGCTGCAATGCAAAGAAGGTCACGCAGGCAAAAGTGCAGACACGAGCATCAATCTACCAAATTTAGTCAATTGTCTATCGAGTTGTGACAGAGGACAGGTAACTCACCTTCCTGACAATTTTCTTCTCTTCCTGTTCCGTCCATTGGAAATTCGGATCCCAACGATGAAGGCCCTCATAACTGTCAATGGGCCGGTAGAAGTGATGACCCTCCCTAGCCTCAAATGTACCTTCTGTTTTATATTGCCCACTCTTCTGCCACTCTTCGTCCGAGCCATCTGCACTACTAGCAGAAACCTGTGCTGTCTTTCCTTCCTCTGTAGACATCTTTAAGGATTGCAGTAAGAGACAAAGGCGGAACCTTGTCGAAAGTGATTGCGAGTAGCATCATGGAACCCTCTACCTTGATATTTATATTTATGGAGGAATTACGCGTCGTTGTAATGGTCGTCACGCAATTATGCCCTAGGAAGAGTTGTTATGTTGTGCCCGTATGCATGAATGAGACAATTGCAAAATAAGCGAACCTAACGCTAGGTGTAAATTTAGCGTTAGAATTACCTCCATGTCCTCTTATTAATGAATATGCTGTAGGTATCATTTGTGGGATAATACTGAGACATGTTTGGGTAGCTCTAGACGCGGGGTCCAAGCAACTTGCATCGTTAGTTAGACACGCCATTTAGACTAAGGTCTTGCCATTCAACAAGTCTATCGTTATTGGTTACTCCACATCGCTTAAATATTGCTGCTTGATGCTTATCTAGTTTTGAGATTCACCTTCTGGTACAAGCATTGCGTGATGCCTGAAGGCCCAACCTGGCTTCTTACTCACCTGCGAAAGCATGTATCGTTCGACTACGCGTACCTCCCATTATAAGTCTCTCATGTCTCTTCAATGGTTGCTTTAAATAAGTTTCCTGGCTGATAATCAAGCATACTAATCTTGATCTTGTAAGGACCGTGCTGGAATTGTTAAGAAAGGCTGTCTTACAATGCGTATGAAATCAGACTCGTAACATAATGAAGCCTACGTCCTGAGTATATAGAAAAAGTACGAAGTACAGGTGGATAAGAAACGGCTGTAGCGGTTTGAGAGTTAATTCATGGTCAAATTATGACCATTGTGAATACATCATGTTAAAGCCCAGGATTCATTGGGGATCTATTCACCAAAGGCTTGCCACCACGGACAGCGTTTTGGGAAGCTAACTAATGCTTGAAGGTATCGAAAAGAAATATCTGTGCCCCGCGAATTTGGTGTGTTGGTCACCTTCCATATGTCTTTGTTTGGGGCTTGTTTTCAACCCGTTGTCTCTACTTCGAGACGGGACACCAATCGAAATTTCCCTTCTGATTGTTTCCCCACCATGATGGAAATGGATGAGACGGTCCACCCGCTCCGTTCACAGCAAAAGAGAGAATGAAGACAATCAAGAGACTACCAGCGTCGAAGGCCCCAGCAATAATGTATGAGTAGTCTTTGAAGATGCGTGGGTGGTAATTCCGGAGGTAGGCCTGGGTAAACAAGCCACAAAGTAGCCCACTGAGAATTGTGCAGGTCTGTGGCTGATTTGGAATATTACCGGCATATTGAATAAATTGTGGCAGGTTAATTTCAGAAATATCGAACCGTCCGATTTTGGGAACAAACTAGAACGAAAGGTGGGGTCAGCACGAACTAGTTGAACAATCTTGAACTGAATTAGGCTTGCTGACCTGGTAGAAAACCCGATGTAAAGTCACCGCAGCGGCACCGACAGCTAGGGCAATAGGAATCAACTCGTACTTGGCACCGAACTTATACAAGTAGGGAGACAAGGCCCAGGAGGCCGCCTTTGTGTTGAAACCTTGCATGGTCGCACCACTCCAGGAGGAGTTTCCGTTGCCCTCGGCAAGAAGATCCCGGTTCGCTGATATGATGGAAGATAAAATGGCATAGTTGATGAATCCACCAAGTATGATGCCATAAATTTGGGTCCAAAGCATGATCCTGGGCGGTATTTTGAGGTATTCGCCCAGCTTGAGATCGGTGGACACGGAGCCAGCAGAAAGGACAACATTATGCGACCAAGCAGCGAAGTACATGTTACCAACTGGGCGCCCAGGAAGCATGAGTCCAGCCAGCATTTTCGACAGATTGTTAGTGGCAATGCCGTTGCCGAAGCGAGCGAAGAGGACGACACTCTGGAACATGATATTGGTTAGAATCTTTCTGAAGCTGTGTATGCGAGGATACTCACAAAAGGCGAAATGAACATTCCTAGTGCTAGCGAGACAATGTACGCCCAGACCGGAAGAGTGATATTCTCTTTAATCACCACGACAAGACCAAGGACAAAGCTGACAATGAGAATGCCAGCAAAGCACCACCACGGGGTGTCCTTATAGTGCTTCGCCATGTGGGTGTGATGCGGATCATCATGCTTGCCTTCCCTCGCGCGTTGATAAACGCTCCAGATACCCTCGCCCCAGAAAAGGATGCAATGCAGAATCAGGGCGCCAATCTAGAAACCATTTAGTGTCTGAATTCAGGATAAATCATCACACTCACTGCCGCGTTGGCCATAAATAGACCAAATGCAAAGGACCCAGTCAACTGAGATAGTCCGTGCTTTTCAATCACTGATTTGTCAAGCAAGCCACCAGGAAACACCTCTTTCACGGGATATCTTGTGCCATTGGCCGTAAGAAGGTTGGTCGCCATGAAGGGCATTGATCTCGCACCCCAGCCATTTCCGAAGTAGATGCCAATCATCACTATGGCGCAGATTCCGGTTCCGACGAAGGTATGAAGTATCAACTTGAGAGGAATGGCAGTTGAAGAGGATGTGATCTGCGTTGGGAAACCTCGTCTGTTAGTACGTAATATCACCAGAGCGCCAAATTTAAACTTACATATTGCCAGTCAAAGGACAAAGAGAAGAGACCGAGACCTTCGTTGGCAGTGGCACCACCAAAAAGGTTGGTGAGTATGGCACCCTTATTGCCGGTTGCCTTCTGTGAAGCCAGACACTAAGAATTTCGTCAGATGCGGTGCAAAATATGTTTTTGGAGGATAGTACATACCGGAATAGAGACAGAGTTGAGCCACGGAAAAATGTATGCAGGAAATATCTCATAAAGAGACATACCCGTAAACGCATACCAAAAGTATTTCAGCGGCTTCGAGTTCTCAACTTGATCCCAGTGAAGCCCTTGGAGAGTTTTCACCACAGGCAGCTCACCCCAGTAGACGGCCTCAACATCCCAGACAGCAAAGGACCGCATAAATCCACATAGACCACAGCCAAATAGACCGATAGAGATAATTCCCAGGATGACAGTGGTGGCACTCAAGGGAAGATCGTAGAACAGCTTTTGTGCCGCAAATACACTGGTCGCATTCGTAACATACCCGGCTGCCGTGGCAGTGATCACAGAGATCGAATGCTCTTTGAGACCAAAAGGTCCAGGATTAATAAACTTGATGACAGTAATCCACCAAGGGAGCTTGCCCTGTCCATCTCGCCGTCTCCATCTCACCTCGAACTTGTCACCGCGGGGGAGAAGTTTGGCCCAGGCGTTACCAACAAAGTAGGAAGCAAGAACAAGGAAAACCTTTGAGATGTCGACCTGGGTTGGTTTGAACTAAGAATATGTTTATTAGCAATGTTGTGGCGATGAATAGAGATGCGATGTGAATATTCACTTACAGTGTAAATCTGGGTCATGACAGCGAGGAAGGCCGCAAGACCGGAGCCCAGGATAGCAGCGCGAAAGGTCAAAGTAGGGTCGAAGTCATCTCGCATCGGCAAAAGATGAGCGGCCACATCGGCTCCAGTGACAATGACAATATCTGCAGAGTCCCGCTCAGTTTCACCAAACCGCTTGTTGTCACTAGCTTGAGCCTCATCCTTTCTGAGAACCGTGACAGCAGTCTTCTCGTCGATGTGCTCTGCAGGTGGATTAAGCATGATTGGAATATAGTATGAATCTGGAAGATTGTTGAATTCTGTCCTGTTTGTGTTGCTTTAGATGGAAGAAAAAATGAAGGGAATAAAGAAGGAAAGAAACCGGGAGATAGCAAACAAAGTACCTCGATATATACCCAAGTTTCAATGTTGGTATGTCCACAGATTATGCGATGGTGCAATTCACATGGGCACTGGGGGTAAAAAGAGTGTCCTTCGCTCTTTCCTCCAAATTCGTTCCTTCCACGTTTTGATGGGCTCACATGATCCAAAGCTTTTGCGACACAAAAATAAAAGCTCGACCGGTAACACAACTCCCAGCCAAATAATCCCGTCCTTTTGTATAACAAGTGCCTAGGTGCATTACAATAAGGCCAATCGTTGCGAAGGTAAGCCGGTTGTCATGTTACAGTACACATATGGCTTGATATTGCTCGCATAAGTACATTCCTCTATTAGCTGGATTGTCATCAAACCCTTGTGATCATGGCCGTTTGAGGCAAACAGTTATTCTTATATCCGTTCACTAATGTAGTTATTTCTTTCCACTGAACAATATCCGAAACTTAGAGAACTCGAACTCTCTGACTCCGCCCGAAGCTCCCACAGTTCCAACATCTGATATCTTCCAGGTTTTTTTTATCTTGAGCCTACCCTAAACGATCATAGCTAGAGCATGGGGCTGGTAGATGTGCCTTGATCTTGTCTCAGTATCTATAAAGAAGGTTCAGGTACACTGAAATAATACATATGCGTTGATGAGGGTTGCGCATTCAGGGGATCAGCATGTGAATTTGCAACAACGAGATCTCCTAACGTTGGAAATCCAAAAAGCCCAGGGAGAGAGAAAGCACCGTCAAACGAAGACCTCTCAAAGGCTCGGCTACTACATTACTTTCCGTATTCAAATCTACTTCTTATATATTATTCAAGCTTCATACCCAGGTAAGAAAGACCAATTACTGCAAATATTAGTTTGATGGAACAACCGAGAATTCCCACCATTGGCTTGACAATGTTGAAAGAGAAAAAAAAGGGGGGGAATTAGTCAGAATGAAGGTCGTTACTCTACTTGAACTGGGCCGGAAATAAATGTCAGGAGTCTCAAAACTTCTACTAGACTGAGTTGTCGGCGCATGAAAAGACCCCCGAATAACTAGTGATGATGTTGGAAATCGACCCATATGTACCCCCGATCACCAAGAAAGTCCCAGCTAGGATGACGAAAATACTCCAAGCGACCATCAACTTCCACTGGACAGGCTTGTCGATCTTGCCGTCGCACCAGTTGTCATACAGCCACATGCAGCCCATTGGCTGAAAGGTCATCAGTATCCCCATTAAGGCGCCGATGAGTGAGACAAGGTCGTTGAACACGGGAATAGCACTGGCAATGATATAAGCGACCACGGTAATGCCGAAGGTGAGCCCGAACCACGATACCCAGTGGATAATGGTATTCGCGGTCAGATGTCTAGAGCCTTGGAAGATACGAATAAAAATATACTTTACCGGTAGCTAGATGTCGCTTAGTAATATATTTCGCATCCAAAAAGTTTGGAAAAGTCCCACATGAATGAAAAGCGTAGTACTCGCCAGTAAGCCTAGTAGCGCGAACCCATAGCTAACTTTCTTCAGGAGTGGACCAGCCGAACCAAGAGCCGGCGAAGAGACGTAAGACCCGCAGTAGTAGTAGACAACAATGCCAATCGAAAAATAGAATGCAGAGACGATCGATTGACAGATAACTAGAGCTCGGGTGTAGTGACGAGGCTCGCGCATCTCCGAGACGATGGAGAAGAATGCTGGGGTTCCTGCATAGGCAAATACAATTGTACATATTGCAGCCATTGCACTAGCGAATGAAGGATTGCCGACAACCTTATAGTCAGAAACCCAAACTTTATCTACTGGTACATCTGCTGGATGATCTTGGACGCCAACGCCGACAACGACAATCAAGACTTATGTCTAGTTAGTTTGATTTTACATAGACCCAAGAGAGGAAAACTTACCAGCGGTCATAATACAAATCAAACCAACCCACGCGACCCAAGAGATCCGTCCAAGTGTCTGAATACTTCCGAGAGCACAAGCGGCGATAGCAGCAACGGCCACAAATGCGGCAGTGCATGTCCCATGAGAGGAGACGGAATTTAAGGCGATTGAGATGCCTAGCATGCCCGAACCGGCCGAGAAGACATACCCTATACCGATTTAGCACTATCATCGTTTCCTGTCGAAACAGTACTCACACAGAACGAACGCGCTCCCAAGAACAGCCCTTCCCGGTAGTCCGAATATTAGGTGTCCTACATCATCCACTCCATACACCTCGCGGTGCCGAAGCTTAAAGACACCAACAATATGGTTGGACCATGTTGTGATCACACCGATTGCAGCAAGGCATAGTACGCTGGGAACTATACCGAGGGTATCGAAAGCCGAGGGTATAGATAGGACCCCGAGACCAATCTGCGTCTTCATCATGAGTATGGCTGTTCCTAGCCATTCGACCTCGAAAATCGTCAATTCACTGTAAGAGATACGTATTCGAGTGGGCTTACATTGCGATAGTTCGGCCCGCCTTCTGCCATCTCTCCAAAGACTGCATCGTGGTAGTATTCACAACTCCCAGCGACTTGGTCTGTTTGGGATAGAACAGACTCCATAGGTTCGTCATGCTTCTTTTCAGACATGTTGGGAAATGTAGAGAAAGGTTGTGAAAATGGGTTTGATATTTCGATGAGGACTCGAGGCCTGCGAGAATTTATATTGTGGCCTGCCTATAAAAAGCCCTTATCTACCTTCTGTGCAAAAGCAGTACATACTGACCTCTTCGCCTATCTTTCTCCGACCCCGGTCCCCGCATTTCCGAGGATTGCGGCTTGTTTGATGCTGCGTATACTCCGTATCTACTATCTGTTCAAAAGATATCGTGATCTAGTGTCACTATAATTTCGCTTATCTTCTATACAGCATGTACTATGGTTTACTTTCGGCCGCTACGGTGCATACTCGCATTTCTATTGGCCCATGAGGAACTGGGCCCATGTAAAGTAGTGTGCCACCAGTAATTTCGCAGTTTATTCCCACAGCTTAAAAGTTTCGGCGCCGTAGCGGCCGATGTGGGGCCGAGTGTTTCTAAGTTCCCTTCAACCTCGCTGGCTATAGATATATGTTGATAGATCGTGATTGGCTGGCCTTGCCGAAGTATGGCCGTTTCCACTACAATATTTGGCATGGAAGTATTGAACCCTAAACTAAACTTCATAGGTATACAACCTGCTCTGCTAGAGAGATGCAAATCTTCAATATATCGCAGGTCAACTTTCCCAGTTATGAAAACTTCTAGCTTCTAGAAATTTGATATCCCTGAGAAATTTTCGCTCAAATCACTGGATACTGCCTCAAGACCCATCCCTTCTTTTCTATCCACCCCATTTCCTCCCCGATCGCCCTGCATACTTTACTGTGTTAAGATGTCTCAACTCCCGCAATCCGAAAATGATGTCCAAAACCAAATGGTGACACCAGAAAGTCGAGTGTTGATCGTTATGACCGGTGGTACAATCGGCATGCAACACTCCCCATCAGGCTATGTACCGGCCACAGATTTTCAAGAATCCTGCCTAGCAGGAATTTCGCTGTTCAATGATGGGTCTCCATCATCGGTGCTTAATGTGGTCATGAATAGGAAAGGAGACATTCAGACACGTACCAGCCTACGGACCCCTCCATCGGCCTACCAGCGACAGATCAGGTACACAGTATGCGAATTTGATGACTTAATTGATAGCTGCTCCGTTGGTGCGAAAGAGTGGACGGATATTGCTGAGATTATATTTTGTAATTATGGTCTCTTTGATGGCTTCGTCGTTCTGCACGGGACCGACACCTTGGCATATACCTCCTCCGCACTAAGTTTCATGTTACGGAACCTCGGCAAACCAGTTATCCTGACTGGGGCACAAGTTCCGATGAGAGAATTGCAAAGTGATGCTCTCCACAACCTCCTTGGATCATTGGTGATTGCTGGTCATTTTAAGATTCCAGAAGTCTGTCTATACTTCAACAACCGACTTTTACGTGGTAACAGATCAACGAAGACGTCCGCCAGTGAGTTTGCGGCGTTCGACTCCCCGAACTATCCGCCGCTAGCTGTCACATTGTCTTCAGGAACGAACGTTGCATGGGACCTGGTTCGTAAGCCGAAGGAGACCGAGAGCTTTTCTCTACAAAAAGTGCTAGATACTAGGCACGTGGCTTGCCTCCGTCTTTTCCCTGGTATCAGACCTGAGATGGTGAATGCGGTCTTAAAAATGGAGGGGCTTCGCGGTCTGGTACTAGAGACTTTTGGTCCAGGAAGCGCACCTCTTAGCCCTGATCGAGCCTTGATCAAGGCACTGGCGTGTGCGGTCGATGAGGGTATCGTCATTATCAGCGTCTCACAGTGTATGCCCCAACGGTCCCTATGACGATGATGATTGGCTTACATGCTATAGGTCTGAATGGAAGCGTGAACCCTGTCTATGATTCAGTTGCTAGTCTTAGCAATGCTGGCATAGTGGCCGGACTTGACATGACTACAGAGGCTGCAATGACAAAACTTGCATATCTTTTCGCATTACCAAACTCCACGACTCGATCTGTGGCTGAAGGCATGGTTAAGTCCCTTCGAGGTGAATTGATAGAAATTTCGGGACCAATTTTCGAACATCCGAATGTCACCAAATCCGAAAGTTCTCTGGTCTTGAGTGATTTATGCCAAGCAATCTCCCTCAATGATGCTGAACGCGTTCAAGGAATTCTCAATTCCCAGAATTGTAGTTCCTTAAACGACTCAGATTACATGGGTAACACGCCTTTGGTTAGTTCGCCCATGTCCTGGTAACTAGAATTATTAGAAAAGCTGACATGGATAAAGCATGTGGCCGCTATCTCACCATCAATTCCGATCCTCCGTCTCCTGTTGCATAATGGGGCCCTTCCAAATACGCATAATCGAACAGGCAACACTCCACTCTTTCTTGCAGCCAGAGCAGGCCTAGAGCAGCACGTATCGCTCTTGCTACAATCGGGGGCCCGTCTAAATGTCGATGAGCTGGGAGTAGCGGAGCTTCTACTTCCGAATCAACCTCATATCTGGAAAACGGCTGAAACTGATTGTGAAAAATAAATTGCAGGGTATTTTGCCCAAATGACCATGTACTATTGTGCCTACCATACATATATCGTAGTCCTTCCAAATTCCAACCATAAATCAAAACCCCAACATCGATCACCAAGGTATATTCTAGACCCGATTATGAGGCTACAGATCTCACTTGATGGTGACTACTTGTAGTCTGGGGGAAAAAATTTTGACTTCTTTCAGCCTGATAGTTTCTCGCAGGGATATAATCATAAAATCAGTTGAAATCGTTGTATTCTGATAGGGAAAGCCTACGAATCTACGTTATCTCTCAACATCCTAATCTTACCTTGCAACCGCAGATGGACGTATAACATCAAGAGATGATACCACTGTACACCGATGACCAGATTCAATTTGGGAGGGTCCACATGGGCCATGTACATTCGGCTACTACGGTAAGACCTAGAGAATTGATTGGCTCAAGTTCCAGTAAGTCGTCGGAGAAGGCGGTTATGGGGCTGTATGTATGAAGCAGCCAATAATACTCCGCACATAGTCCGTAGCGGCCGAGGCTGACCGTGCAATCTTATCAAGTGCGGCATGGGGAACGGTCGGCTTCATTCATCTATAGGTTGTGCGGCCATAGTATTTTGATGATTTCAAACCCCCCACATTGAAAGTCGAATATAATTTCTCATTCTGTGGCCACCGGATTTTTCGTGTATATATATTTTGCCTTCCCCACCTGTTTAACACAATTTCGATTACAATTTTCCTGCATCGCGGTGATATTTTGGAACGACTGATGATTTTGAGTGACTTGGACTATCCGGTATCGATTCAAGAGTCGTTTGTTTTAGTAAGAGCTCGAGACCCCGAGAGATCTGCATGAATACATTTATCTGACCCTCAGCTCCCAAAATTATTGCCTAGTGCACCGTGACCTGACAACACAGCAAGGTTAGCAGACGGATGACCCCAAACCTCATCGGATATCTATTGAGACATATCGAAGCTAGTCACGGTGGGGGATTCTACTAGAGGTCTGACGATGCACATCGAAAGTGACAAGCAGACCATGTCGATGGCGAGAACCAGAGTCGAGAAAGACAGTCTTGGCCAATTAGAGCTGCCAGCTGAGGTGCTTTATGGCATAAACACCGCTCGGTCGCTTGAAAATTTCCCCCTCTCCGGTCGATCTATCACAACATGGCCAGACTTCATTTATTCATTCGCAATAATAAAGCAAGCTGCAGCCCGTGCAAACTCCGAAATAGGTAGCTTGACAGAAAAGCAGGCTGATGCTATCTTTGCGGCGTGTGAAGAAATCAAAGTCGGCAAACATGACGCACATCTCGTCGTTGACATGCTGGAGGGTTCGGGTGGGACCTCTACCAACATGAATGTGAATGAAGTGATTGCGAATATCGCAGCAAAATCCTCACACCTAGCGCTCTCCAATTACAGTTTTATCCATCCCAACGATCACGTCAACTTGGGACAGTCAACTAATGATGTGGTTCCGACTGCCATGAAGTTGGCTGTCTATCGCTCAATGGAAAAGGCGCTGCGTACCCTTCGCCAGCTAGCGGATGCGTTTGCGAGAAAGGGCGAGGAATACAAGTCACTCCTCCGTCTTGGAAGAACATGCCTTCAAGATGCGCAGCCCATGACCCTTGGACAAGCAATTGGAGGCTACGAGGCAGTCATACGGCGACACGTAGACCAGCTCGACATAATTCGCGAGCAATTCTTGACAGTTCCCTTGGGAGGAACAGCCATTGGGACCGGCTTTGGGTCCAATCCGGGGTATAAAGCGGCTGTTTTCCGACATCTGTCCAAATTATTCAACACACAAGTCCAGCCCGCTGGGAACGCGTTTGACGGTATGCAGAACATGGACAATTGCGCCCGTCTTTCTGGGGAGTTGCGCAATACTGCAAACACTCTGTGGAAGATTGCTAATGACCTTATCATACTATCTTCTGGTCCCAGTGGTGGAATAAACGAGGTCACTCTTCCTTCAGTCCAGGCCGGATCCTCAATCATGCCTGGAAAGGTTAACCCAGTCATCCCCATAGCGGTCTGTCAAGTCGCCTTTGCTATCACCGGTAACGATACCGCAATTGCAATGGGATGCCAGCACGGCCTGCTGGAAATCAACCACTTTGAGCTGCTTGTGTGTGATCGCCTCCTTGACAGTATTCATTTACTCACCGGCGCTACCGAAATTTTCACCCGCCGATGCATCGACAACATGGTTGCAAATGAAGATGTCTGTCGAAAGCATTTGCTTGCATCCAGCGCGTTGGCTACTGCACTCGTACCAACACTTGGCTATGCGCAGGTTTCCACCATCGTCCGTGCAGCCCTAGCAGCAAAAAGACCTTTTCTGGATGTTGTAATTGAAAAAGAGTTGCTCACAGAAGACGAGATCACATCAGTGATTGAATGCTCGACCCATCACGACAATGTTTAAGTGTACATACTATTTCTACTAAATCAAGGCTGTAATCTTTCCCTCTGATCTCCAACATTTTGTATCTACCGGTAGGGTTCCGCTCCCGGCTTGCCCTAGACCCATACCAAATTCATTTAGGTCGGAGTTTCCCCACATGTTCGATAAGGTTCGGACTGGCTGCTTATCATCGGCCGCTACGGCTGCGTTCGTTCGTTTGATAGGGCGGACAACCTACATTCCCCACTCTCGGAATCGGGATTTGATTGATCCTTTGCTTCTTCCAAGGTTCCAAGGTTGCGCCCGGGCGCAGAAAATTAGTAAGCCACCACAAGGCCCCGGGGCCCCGGGGCCCTGGGGGCAATCCGTCCATGGATGCATAGATGAAGTCGAATAACTCTCACCTCACTTTTATTGCTAGTGTGTTTATTAGCATTAACCTTAGAACTTCGCGACCATTCTTGAATGCTCTTACCCGCTTCGGCTAGAGATAAAAATTGAGAGGTCGACACACTCAACTGACTTCACCCACCGCGTGAGTCAGAAGTGAATTTTTCTTTCCAGAAGCCCTGTTTGTTCAATCTGGGATATGCCTCGCTTCAAAGGAAGATCCCCTAGCGCGTGCTATTATTGCCGCAGCCAGAAAGTGAAATGTAGTGGTGGTAAGCATGGTTTTCGCCATTTGTGGTCATCGCTCTGATATATTGAGGAACAGGACAACCGTGTGCAAAGTGCGTTTCAAGCCGGAAAGCTTGCGTATTTCCATCTCAGGAACGCGTTGTGACTATTTCTGAGAGCTACGTGCGAAGACTAGAGTGCGAAATCGCGCAGTTACGGCAGCCCAGTCGCGACAGCCAAAGAGCCATGACTGACGCCAGCAACCAATCCACGACCCCATCGAGCAATGGCTTCCAGGTGCAGGGACTACTTCCAGAGCGACTTATTGAAAGCTCAACAACTGAGCATTTCGTACGCAAGCTCAAAGACGTGTACTCCACCCCTACGCAAGAGAAATCCGGGGTCTCCCCTTTTCCCATGACATCGGCCTCTCGCGTAACAGAGTCTCATGACACCAACTTTCAGTCCACGACATCCGATTACACCTACATTCCTCTGGAATATGGCAATAGCCGTACGTCAAGCCAAGCCCGTCTGTTCCGGCTTCCGTCTAACTCTCAAAGAACCCAAGGTGCTCGTCAAACTTCCACCGCACTCATACGCTCTCTACCTCATAGGCCAGTTTGAGTCTTTCATGGGATTTGATTATCACTGGTATCAAAAGAAGCGATTTCGTGCTCGAATCAATGCCTTATATGATCCATCACAGTCGCAGGCAATAGAACGAACATGGCTTTGCTGTTTTTCTGTTGTGTTGGCTCTGGGAGATTCATATAACGACAGTGTTGCCCCATCATTTTTGATTGATAATAGAACAGGGTTCTCCACAGACGATTCTGGCACAACGAATTTGGAACAATTACCCCCTCGGGGGATCGAGTTCTTTAAACAAGGATTGCTCCTTTTACGACCGTCTTACGAGGAGCCAACAATAGAGCAAGTTGAGGCCCTGAATCTCATTGTGAGTATGTTGCTGAGGTAGGCTTGAAATGACATTCAATCTGATTCAGGATAGACATTTTATTGCTACTCTCTCAATCGACGAAAAACAGCGTACGCTTATGCTGGGATGGCTCTCCGATTGGCTATGCTTCTCGGCCTTTCAACGCCGCACAATCAAATGAGTCTGCTGGAGCAGGAACATCGCAAACGCATCTGGTGGACGACAATTTGCATGGATATAATGACTTGCACAGAGTTATCGTTGACACCAGCTGCTGCATTCGATGAGGACAGCATCGAATTTCCTGATAATTCTCAATTATCTGCGGAAGATGTCGAAGAATTCTCAGATCCGCAGTATCTTACCGCACAGGTCAAGCTTTGCAGTATCAAATATCAAATTATCAAGAAGATTTCTGAGCTACGTTTCGGAAATGCCGTCGAGGCACACGCACTTATTGAGCCTTGTCTACAAGCTTTGAATAATTGGAGACTGGAGTTCTCGCCAACTTTAGAATTCACCTCGGATGGAGGATTTACGGACGGAACTCTGGCTTTCCCACCAATGCGAACGATCGCATCCCTACTGCTCCGCTATAACCAGGTAAGAAGAGTGATTTCGGATTTGAGAGGTGATACTGATGAATTAGTGTTTTATACTTCTTCTTCGCCCGTTGTTGTTGAAACAGCTGCATGACATCATCCATGGACAAGTTGCCTTAGAACCTCGCAATGATCTCGCAAGCCTAAATACACAGTGCTTGCAAGCCGCAAAGAATAATACCGCAATCCAATTTGCCCTGTCAAAATGTCATAAAATTGGTATGTTTCCTCTTCTATCCAGAAATCGCTTTCATCTCAATTTCGAACTATTCCCGTATCCTAGTATCTTCACAGCGAAATTCGGATTTTGGGAGTCCCTGCACATATTTTCCAGCCTCACTGTTCATGTGATCTCTGGCTTTTTGAAGGAGAAGCAGGCCGCTGCATTCGCTAGTGCCTGGACCAATGCCCCATACAGCCCAGTCAGAAGTTTACTCGGGGAAATGGCTCGAGTTGGCAATGCAGCATCGAAGGATCATGAAAAAATGATTCAAGACATAGAGGATCTATTCACAGAAGCTCCTTCCAACACAGGTCTGACTGAGGGAATCGAGGATCCCGTATATTGGCCGGAATATGTCAACATTGAAAGTATGGGCTTTGATTTCGATGAGACGTTCCCGTCATTTGGCTGGTCGTGAATGAAGGTTGCATGCCTAATTTGTCCTCCACCTCGGATCAACAGAAACAGAATTACTACGACAGAGACCATAATAAGCAAGGTACTCAGGTTGAACGAATGAACCTAATCCAAACATCCAAATCGGTATATTTGTCTAATGCTAAGTGATATAACCCGACTGTACAAATCTGCATATTGCAGGCATTCAAGCTGTTCCCATTACGAGTTAAAAAAAAAGCGGTAAACAGTAAGATGGAATTCTATACTAGTATCGTTTACTTTGTGAGTTTTACCTTACGACCCTACGGCCTCCCCCCCCCGCAGAAACTTCGAAAGGGGGATTTTCGGAGGGCGAGGAACATCATATCGAGGCCATGGAGCCTGGATAGTTGACCTCATTTCTTTGTCCTGACTATGTATGAAGGTTCGATCACTATCTTACTTATGTGGGGATCACGCAAGATTCTAAAAATCGATATTCATGTTAATCATTCTGTTTACTGTTGAATTACCCTGGTACTATTGATCGGGTCACTTCTGGAAGCACACACCCACAGCTATCTCAGCGATATTGCGCAGGAATATTGTCTTAGAAAGCAACGGTATGCCCGTCAACAAAGCCGATGTACGCCACTGAACAACGGCGATGGGCAAGACGCACTTGAGGCGCGATCACTTGGAAGAGTGGGAAACCACCACGCTCGTGGGCACATGCTAGACTTGGCCAATGAATTTATGGGGGGTAATTTGACTTCACCGAAGTATCCGAATTTTATGAACATCCAAGGTCACTTTGTTGGGTCCGAGCTCGATTAGAATTTCCCTTCTTTGTCTGCCGGAGGTAGCGAACCGCCCGGTAGGAACATGATTTCTTTGACATCCTTGAACCTTCGGTTAGTTGTGCAATCATCGCAATTGTCCTCCCTCCTCCCACAGCCTTCCGATTGAGCCACCACTTTAATATGAAGTCGGCTGCTGTCAAGGTGGGATAGATGGCTGCACCCTGCCTATTAGAGATCGAGCGAATTTTATGTGGGATATTTCGGGAGGTGAAGATACATGGGGTATATCCTATGTAGCAGATCGATAATTGGCTTCCTTTCCAGTGGAATGAACTCCTAGCTAATGAGGTGATTTGATAAGTTTGAGAGGTAACATTTATGAGGCATGAGTTTTTGGTGTTCTCTTTCGGCATCTCCTCCAGATCGCACGACCAGTATCTCGCTGGACTCACAGTACGTTCATGAAATTAACGACGGTGGCGTCAATATTGATGCCCGAGCGGCATTGGCTAACAGCCCTCTCTACCATCGTGTTCCGCTCCACTTCCGGCAAAGGGAGACTGCGAAGAGCAGTGCCACTACCTCCTAGTCCCAGGAACAGGGACTTGATACTTCAATTCACGCGCCGCAGCGGAAATCGATACAACGGGTATCAAACCCGATAATCGTCACATCACCCCTAACAGACAACCAACAAGAGATAGTAGTATCACGGCAAACTGCCACAAAATCGAACCCTAACCAGATCCTGATACCTGTATCAAGCGAGATACGGAGGTTGTACGCCAGTGTCAGTATAGAGAGGCCGGTAAGATAAACCCAGCTAAAGGAATCAGGTCCTACTATAAGAACTAGATCAAGGATATTAGAGGATAATAACCTACCTACTATACCGGAGGAGCTTACTAAGACTGCTATTAGGGTAAATCAGTCAGCTCATTTACTCTAGTCATAGAAATAGGTACCTAGTCTTCTCTAAAACCCAACTTAGGTCCAAACTTTAGACCCAAGACCCAACCTATATGGGTTTTAGGTCCGACTTCTATAACCTAACCTAACCTAAGACCTAATACTAGGTACCTATTAGGGCCCTAGGAGAACCTAATTTTATATAAAATAGAGCTCTTAGCGTTTATAACCCTACTAAGTTATCGAAATAAAATACTGTTTTTTATACTTATTCTAGTTTCCCTACTATATTCTTAATAATCTTACCTATTATAGTAGGAAATTTTAAGTAATCTCTATAAAATAGAAGTAAGAAAGCTTAGTTTTAAATTATTTACTTTATAGAACTATAAATTTATTTCTTATAGTACTATTTACTAGAAATAGGGAAAATATTATTAGAAATATAGAGAAATATATATTTAATTTATATAACTAGAAGTAGTAGAAGTAAATAGTCTATATTATAATAGAAATTAATAATTAGGACTTAGTAATCTAATTCTTAGAATCTAACTACCTCTACCTTTAGATAATTTTATTTAAAGCTAACTTATTTATAGGTTAGGCTTTTTTAGGTTTATAGGTTTTTAGGTTTTAATATAGTTTAATCTTACTCTACTAATATAAAATATTTTTAAGGATTTCTAAAAAGAATTAGGGTAAGAATTAGGTTTTCTTAGGTAATTCTTAGGTTCTTTTAGATTCTTTTAGGTATTTATTAGGTTTTCTTAAGTTCTCTTAGGTAATTCTTAGGTTCTCTTAAGTAATTCTTAGGTTCTCTTAGGTTCTTTTAGATATTTATTAGATCTAATTAGGTTTTCTTAGGTCTAATTAGGTTAGACTTATATAAATATTTATAATCTAACTAATTAATAGCTATCTTAGTATATTTTTTTTAATCTATTTCCTTTTATCTTCTACTTAATAATTTTATCTAAGTTAGTCTATTTTAGACTACAGCATATCCTCTCCATTAGATATTAGGTCATATACTATATCTATAAGTTGAGGATATTAGATATCATACTAATACTATATCCTTAATAAGGATATAAGGATATTTTGCGGATATCCGCACTAGTATAACTCTTACTTAATTATCTACTTAGGTATAATTATATACCTCTTATATAGCTTATTAATTTATTTTTTAAAATAAAAGATGTATATATTTGGTCCTAACTATACTAATAACCTTATTTACCCTATTACTTAATAAAATATTAAGAAATAATTATATAATATATAATATTTATTATTTAGTTATTCTTTATAGTATTAATTTTATTTTCTAGAATATATTAGAAGATATAGGTAAGTTTTTATTATTTTATAATATATTATAATAGAAATATATATAAGCTCTATATAGTAGTATAGGGTATTTTAGTTAAATAAAATATATATAATTAAAATTACTATTTCTTAATTAAATCTTATAAATTTAATATAAAATAAATATTCTAAGCCTATCTTTAAATTATTTTAAGTTTTTAGACTATAATTTCTTATAATATTATATAAAAATCTTAGTTAGAAGTTCTAATATTATAGACTTAGTAATTTTATTATCTTTTAAAACTAATATTTAGGGATAACTAAGGATATCTATAGATATCTATATAAATATCTATAATATATCCCTAATTATCTTTAAATATCTATATTAATAATTAGTAATAGCTAATTATTACTATTAAAAGTTAGAGATATATTAAAAATATACTTATAAGTTATAACTATTATACCTTTAATATTCTTAGCTAGTTTTATATATATATTTTTCTCTCTTTACTTTTATATAATCTATAATTAAGTATAATATATCTTACTTATAGGTATTTTAGTCTTAATATTTCTTTTATACTAATTTAGATCTAGGTCTAAATACTAACTTATTTTATTTAGATAATATCTCTAATCTTATTAGTAACTAAACTCTATTAATATCTATATTAAAAGTATTATCTCTAATTATACCTTTTTTACTCTTTTATATTAGTCTCTCTTTTTAGTAATATTAGGTCCTATTTTCCTTTAAATCTAGTAATAAAATAGATAAATCCTATAAGAGCTTTATAAAGTAGTAATTAATTATAAAGTTTAGCTTAAAGCCTAATATATAAAACTCTATCTATTAAGATAGGAAAAAGATATCTAATATCTAAGATTACTTTAACTAAGTTATATATAAAAAAACTAATAAACTAAAAGTTATATATATAATATATCTCTATATAATTATTTATCTAAGATATTATTAAGCTAGGTTATTATTAATAAATATATATATTAAAAGAGGTACCTATACTTAAAAGCCTACTTAAAAGGTTAATTAACTACTAAAATAGATAATATATTATTATTTTAAAATATAATCTCTTATATCTCTTTTATTAATATTTATATACTACTATAAAGCTAACTCCTTTAAAAAGCCTAACCTTCTTTTAAGAGTATTTAGTTAAAGTTATATTAGACTTTATCTTTACTACCTACCTTCTCTTTTAAATTATTAAATATATTTAATTTAAAGATTTAGTAGAGGTTATTTAGTAAGTCTAAAGTAAGGTTAATATCCTATCTATATAAAATATATAGTATTACTTTAATTTTATAGTTAAAAGTAACTAAAAAGAGATTCTTTAAAGGCTTTTAGATAGAAGTTAACTTTTAATAATACTTAATTACTAAATATCCTTATTCTAGTAGGTATTTATAGTTATTATTAGACCTGGTAGTGACCCTCTGGGTATTCCATGATCTTAGACCCTCTACCTAACCCTAACCCTGACCCTCTATAACCCATAGCGACCCTTAGATGTATAAATTTCGAGCGCTAAGCCTAATTAAGGTAGATAAAACTACT